TCCATATCTTAGCTATGGTGAATAATGCTGTGATAAACATGGTTGTGCTGGTAACTTTAGTATGACCTTGTTTTTGATCATTTGGGTAAATGCCCAAAAGTGGGATTGCTGGGTCATAGGGAAGTCTTTTGAGGAACCTCCACACTTCTTTCCAAAGTGGTTGAACAAGTTTACACTCCCATCAACAATGCAGTAGGGTTCCCTTTTGTCCACATCCCCTCCAGCATCTGTTGTTATTAGAGTTCTTGATTATAGCCATTCTAACTGGGGTGAGGTGGAATCTCAATGTTGTTTTCATTTGCATTTCTTTTATGGCTAGAGAGGTTGAGCATTTCTTCGTGTGTCCATTGGACATTCTTATTTCCTCTTCAGAGAAGTCTTTCTTTAAGTCTTTAATCCACTTATTTATCAGGCAGTTGTTTCTTTGAGGATTTGTTGTTGGGGGATTTAATTTTTTGAGTTCCAGGTATTTTAAATATGAGACCCTTGTCCGTTGTATAGCTAGTGAAGATCTTCTCCCAATCCCTGGGCTTTCTATTGATATTGCTAGCTATGTCCTTTGCCATGCAGAAGCTCTGCAGTTTCATGCAATCCCATTTGTCCAATCTTTCTTTGATTTGTTATGTTTCTGGGTCTCTATTGTAAAGAAAATTTCCACATATGGTAAGGAGCCCTAGAGTTTCTCCTATTAGTCCCTGTAATGTTTTCTGCTTTTATTTTGAGGTCTTTGATCCATTTGGAGTTGATTCTGGTACAGTGACATATAAGGATCTAGCTTTAGTTTTCTACAAGTGATTAACCAATTTTGCAGCACATTTACGGAAGAAGCTGTCTTTCTTCCATTCTATTTTTTAGCTCCCTGTCAAAGATTAGATGGATATAGGTCTGTGAGTTCATTCTGGGTCTTCAGTTCTATTCCATTGGTCTTCAGGTCTGATCTTGAGCCATTACGCAGCTGTTTTGATTACTATGGCTTTGTAGTAGAGTTTGAAATTTGGAATCAATATTCCCCCAGCGCTGTTCTTTCTGTTAAGGATTGTTTTTGCTATTCGGGGTCTTTTATTGTGCCACATGAATTTTTGGATTGCCTCCCTTGAAAAATGAGGTTGGAATATTGATAGGTATTGCGTTGAATTTGTAAATAGCTTTTGGCAGTATTGCCATTTTCACGATGTTAATCCTCCCAATCCAGGAGCATGGAAGATTTTTCCACTTCCTTAGTTCTGCTTTAACTTCCTTTTTCAGGTTTTAAAGCTTTCCTCATAGAGGTCCTTTACTTCTTTAGTTAACTCTTAGGTATTTTTCAGGAGGGTGGGGGAACGGTTATTACAAAAGGAGTTGGTTTCCTAATTTCAGCCTGCTCTTCTCGTTATTGGCATACAGGAAAGCCATTGGTTTCTGAGAGTTAATTTCATACCTTGCTACTTTGCCTAAGTTTTGAATCAGCTCAAGTGATTTAAGAGTGGAGCCCATGGGATTCTTTAAAGATCATGTCATCTGCAGATATGACATCCCTATTTGGATCCCCTTTATGTTTGCATCTTGTCTTATTGCCCTAGCTAGGCATTCTAATGCTAATTTGAAGAGGAGTAGAGAGAGCAGACATCCTTATCTCGTTCCTGAGTTTAGAGGAAATGGCTTTAACTTTTCACCATTAAGTGTAATGCTGGCTGTAGGTTTTTTCATATACTGCCTTTATTATATTGAGGAATGTTCCATGGATTACTAGTTTTTCCAGAGCTTTCATCATGAAGGAATGTTGGACCTGTCAATGCTTTTTCTGCATCTATTGAGATAACCATGTGGTTCTTATCCTTGCTCTTGTTGATGTGATGAATTATATTAATTGATTTGTGTATATTGAACCAGCTTTGCATCCCTGAAATGAATCCTGTTTGAACGTGATGTATGATTTTTTTGATGAGTTGTTGAAGTCAATTGGCCAAAATTTTGTTGAGAAGTTTTGCATCGATGTTTATCAAAGAAATGGGTTTATAGTTCTCTTTCTTTGATCAGTCCCTGCCTGGTTTTGGGATGAGAGTTTTGATGGCTTCATAGAAAGAGTTTCACTTGGGCTGGGAAAGGGGCTCAGTGGAGAGCACTTGCCTTGCATGCATGAGGCCCTGGGTTCGATTCCTCAACACCACATAAGCAAAAAGAAAAAACCCAGAAGTGGTGCTATGGCTCAAGTGGTAGAGTGCTAGCCTTGAGTGAAGAACTAAGGGACAGCGCCCAGGCCCAGAGTTCAGGCTCCACGACTGGACCCCAAAAAAAAAAAAAGGTTTCACTTTCAATTTCATTGAAGAGTTGGAGTAGTATTGGTGTAAGTTCTGCTTTGAAGGCCCTATAGAATTCAGCTATAAATCCAGCCAGTCCTGGGCTTTTCTTGGGTGGGAGGTCTCTTATTGCTGTTTCAGAGAAAGGAGTTTTTACTGAGCACCTACATTGTACCCAATACCAGTTTAAGTGCTACTCAGGTTTTCAGTCACTGAAAGTCCAGTAGCCCTGTGAGGGAAGAATTAGCCTGCCTCACTGTATAGGAGTAGAAACTCAGGATGGACTTGGTAATCAAGTACAGTTACAGGGAGTAACACAGCACCTTTGCCCCGAATGCCATTAGCACTGCTAAGACAGTGTAAATGGTTGAGTGACATAGTATCATTGCTGTTACTGGCTGACTTTTCCTTTCACAACTAATGAACACTATAGTGTTAACTTTAGCAGCAGCTGGGTCCCAGTAGCTCACACCTGGAATCCTAGATGCACATATAAGAGAAAGCAAGTATACTTTGTCTTTCTGGGCCTGGCTTACTTTACTGAATACTTATTTAAAAAATGAGTTCAGTGATGTAAATTCTTAATCTGAGGGGACTAGACAGTTAAAAATGGCAGCTAGTGGCAATGCTAAGCTCATCCTAATCCCAACTCTCTCTCAAACAATTCACTCTCTCTCAAACAGTTCACCACCCTCTGAGCTCTCTCATATAGAAACCCTAGCCTTGCCACTAGTAAGTGAAAGACCCCAGACTCCTGGGATACTTTAGTCAACGGGAGGGTGCCCCAGAAAACTCAGACTCCAGGCCGGGAGATGCAATAAGCAAGAGGAGTTTATTTGTTGTTTGCGCAAACGGACTCTCTGTCCCGAGCAGACAGGGAGCCCCGAGCAGAGATTACAGGCTAATTTAAAGGCAAAAACCACAAGATTAACGCATAACACAAAGCATCCCATGATTGGTCCATTTAAAGGTCATCATATACACCAACAATCACTTTGCCACGCGGGAAATTTTGTAACACTCTTTGTAAAATGACTGGCCCATGGTTGGTTTAAGGGGGGTTTACATGGTTACAGGCCTATGATTGGTTGACATTTGGCTTAGCTTGTGGTCTTGCCAGGTGGTCGTTATCTCAAGGTCCTGTCTGGGGAATTTCTAAATGGGAACTGAGGAACACGTACTGTTTTTTTTTTTTTGTCTACGACCACTGACCTTGTCCTGGAGCCGGCATCTGGTCCCTGAAACTTCTTAACTCATTTCTGGGAAGGGAAGGGTCAATGCTAGCTAAGCAAGTTTACAGAAGCAGAATCAGCAGTTAGCAAGTTAGTAATGGTAATGGTCAATTTTTAATCTTTCAGTAAGCAGGAAGGTGAGTTTGCTGTGGATTTATTATTATTATTATTATTGTTATTGTTATTGTTATTCCTCATAGGATTTTTATTGTCTGTCATGCGCTTGAACTCTGGGCCTGGGTGCTGTCCCTCAGCTCTTCAGCTCAAGGCTAGCACTCTACCACTTGAGCCACAGCGTCACTTCCAGTTTTCTGGTGGTTCATTGGAGATCAGAGTCTCACAGACTTTCCTGCCTGGGCTGGCTTTTAACTGTGATCCTCAGATCTCAGCCTCCTCAGTAGCTAGGATAATAGGCATGAGCCACTAGCGCCTAGCCTCCTCGTAGGATTTTAGAAGCATTCCATCCTGATCAAAAGTACATGTCTGGGTAGCACTACTATATCATCCTTCACATGAATTACAATGTCTATCGATGCCTAAGTGCTAAGGGGGAGTGACTCTCACAGAGATGTGCACAAAACGCCTCTGGTGCTTTGCAATTCCTAAAGGAAAGATGATTTAAGATACTGGTTCTTCTAAAATATATATATTTGGAAGTTGAGGTGTGGCTCAAGTTGGTAGAGCACTAGCTTTGAACAAAGAAGCCAGGCAAGAGCACAAGTCCCTGAGTATAAACCTCAGTACCAGCAGATTAACATATATGTAAATATGTTTTTAATCAGGCACATTTTTAATTATTATATATTTTAATCTGATCTATAAATCGCATATAAATATATATAGCATGTATCTATATCTGATATGGTGCACACATATCAGATATAAATATATGTGATATGTATATATATGTGTGTTATGAGTATATTAGGTATACATATATACATCTCTACGTGTGTCTATCAGATATAGATATATACATATATCTGTATATGTAGATCAGGTTAAATATATAAGAAGCTCATATATATTTTATGTATATTTATATATTATATATTTATATATATTTATGAGCTCATCATGCTATTCTCTTCTTTCTAAAAAGATCTTATCATTGTAATACTATTGTTGGCATTTGTACCAAAGAAGAAGAAATATCATAAACTGGGGGCTAGGAAGGTGGCTCAGTGGTAGAGCGCTTGCCTTGCATGCCTGAGGCCCTGGGTTCGATTCCTCAGCACCACATAAGCAAAAAGAAAAAAGCCAGAAGTGGCGCTGTGGCTCAAGTGGTAGAGTGCTAGCCTTGAGCTGAAGAGCTGAAGGACAGCCCCCAGGCCCAGAGTTCAGGCCCCACGACCGGACCCAAAAAAAAAAAAAAGGAAATATCATAAACTGGATAGCTACAATTTTTTATTGATTTCATTTATTTATCCATATAGGTCACCCATTTCACATAAATTTATATATTCACTGGAATTCTGTTTTTCTCTTATAGACACTTCCAATAAAATATATCAAACTACAGATCTAGCCAATTTCCCAAGAATGGAAATGCCTGAGAGTACTGCAAACCCATTCCAAGTGTCAACCATGAGACGAATATTTGATTTGACAAAACTTCGAACCAAAAGATCGACACTCTTCCCAACTGGAGTTAATGTCTGTCCACAGGAATCCATGAGGAAGATTGTAGCCAGTCTTCAAGCTTATTATAGATTGAGAGGTAAGGAGAGCAATGCAAACTATTAGTTCTTAGCTCCTTTCATCTCTTCTCTCTCAATCATCCAAACATGGAGACATCTGTTGTCTTCACCCTAAAACCTGCAGGGTCTTGCATTCACCCATAGGAGTTCCAACACCTCACCCACTAATCTGCTAGAATGAGTTATACCATTGCAAAGCCATAGTCCTGCTCAGCTCTTGAGGTTTATAATAATGCCGGGGTGACAGGGGACCATTTAGGGCCTTTAAGACATCAACAGGAAACTATGATAGTCTGGTCAGACCACCTTACTCTATTGTTGTAAACTAATATCTACTTTTGAATCTTGGTGCCCTTATAAAGAACAACAGAAGTAGAAGATGATTACAACCTAGAAAATCTGAACAAGTTCATCTAGAACTTAAGATTTCACACAGAATCTGCCTGAAGCTGGGGGCTCACACCTGTAATCTTAGCTACATAGGAGACAGTTAGAAGCCAGTCCCACAGAAAAGTCTGTGAGACTCTGAACTCCGATTAACTGCCCAGAAGGCAGAAATGGGGCTGTGGGTTCAGGTAATGGATTGCCAGCCTTGAGCAAAAAGTGCTGAGGGACAACATGGAGCCCCTGAGTTCAAGCCCCAGTGTCAGAGCACATACACACACACACACACACACACACACACACACACACACACACACACACACACACACACAAATCATGTTTCAAAAGCAACACTAGCAATTTCTGTCCTTCTGTCCTCTCTCTAGTCCAAATAAGTGTGCTTCTTGCTGATCCTGTTCTGAAGTTTGGGAGCCCAGAAGAAGTTGGAATTCAGAGGAATCACAAATTCAGAGTGATAGGAGAGACAAAAACAGCATAACAGGAAAGGATTGAGCGTTCCTGGAAAATTCTGAGGACTTAGCATCAGTGACTGTTCTTTTTATTTATTTACCATAGATGAAAAAAACATTATTTATTCTGTAAAAGAAAAACTAGAAATATAATATTATATATATATATATATATATATATATATATAAAATGTGTTTTAGCTGGTCTGGAATTCTCCAGGTAGCTTCAAATAATTCAAAATATTTTGACTGCGTTAAGCTGAAGTTCAATTTATCTTCCATGTGGAAGTTGAATACTTTACTGATTTCTGCCTTGATCATACAAGGCTGTAAGCCCATCCCAGCAAGCTGGTTCCATTGTAGCCTATGATATGCTATGCATTTTGACAATTGAGAATATGTTCCATCATATGAACAGCCAGTCACTTTCTTGGAAATCTACTTCTGTAACCTGTTCACAGGGCTAAATTAATCTGATGAGTTTTTATTTGGCTGTGGAGGCATAGTTAATAAACAATTACCGCCCCCTCCTCCACAAAAAATAATCCACTCCTATTTTCTATGTGGGAAACAGAAGATGTTTCTCTTCTCAGTTTCTCCCTGTATTCACCCTATTATTGTAAAGTAAATCCTTGCTAAAACTTTTCCAAGAAAATCAATTCATATTCTTTGTATTCAGAAGTGAAAAGTGGTTTGCTTTTTGATAAAAGCCAGACCCACAGAAATATAGAAAAGTGTGGGCTCCTAGTCAGAGAGAAACATCCAGTTGTAGAAAGGAAGTGTTCACTGTTACTATTCTAAAGCCTCAGTGTAATCTCTCCAGGAGACAGTTTCTTAGTAAATATTTACTGGTGGATACAGAGGCAACGATCTCATTCACTGGCAATACAAAGAAAAGACAGTGACATATAAATTATTCATCTTGAATGTAATTACACATTGACCAGATAATGACACTGCCAAATTCCCTGGTGCCTTAGCATAGAAGTATAAACACTCAAATACGAGTTATTTGCATCCTGCTGAATATGAACACTGTTGTTAACTAGTTTCACATAAAATCTAATTCTTTACAATACTCACAAAATAGGAGTGGCCACAGATATTTGGAAGATAGACAATTTACTGCCGCAACCAAATTTTCAGCCCTGAGTTCTTTTCTTAGCTCTTATGCTTAATTAGCTTTGTCTCTTTCATTCTTTTCTCTCTGGATAAGAGAAACCACTGCTTTTCTCCCACAGCGCTGTCCCTCAGCTCTTCAGCTCAAGGCGAGTGCTCCACCACTTAAGCCACAGTGCCACTTCTAGTTTTCTGGTGGTTTACTTGAAATAACAATTTCACGGACTTTTCCTGCCCTGGCTGGCGTTAAACCATGATCCTCAGATCTCAGCCTCCTGAGTAGCTAGGATTACAGGCGTGAGCCACCATTTTCTTTACAGCTGTGGGTTTTTCAAGTCTAACAAATTAGTTCACAAAGAAACAAGAAATCAGACTTAGCTATAAAGCAAATGTTCTTTAGTGGAGTCGTCCGCTTCCTGCTCTCGTTATTGCCTTTTCAAAATTATCTTCCAACAGCCTCGGGGGAGAGAGCTGCCATATTCCTAGATCAAATGGAATATTGAGCGATTTCTTTTCCCAAAGCAACACAAGTGGAAATGTTCAGATTTGTGGTAGAATCCTACACTCACTCATCCCAAAGCACACATGCAGACGAGTCTGTTTTCTGGTTGTCTGCAGGCTGAACTCTGGGGTCCAATGCAGCTATGCAGTCTCCTCTTAATAAATATTTACTAAGAAACTGTCTCCTGGAGAGATTACACTGGGGCTTCAGCATTGTGTTGTCTCTCTTTTCTTCCCTCTTTTTCCTCTCCAAATGCATATCAAGAGCTAGGTGCTGTCCCACTTAGCAGGCTAAAGAGGAATGAAATCATTCTTGATGCTCAGAGTCGTTCCCACAGACCAACCACAGCTGGGAACTTGCTAGAAATACAGGTTCTCATATTCCACCCCAGGTGTGTGGTCAGCCTCTGCATTTTAACAAGATCCACTGGCCATTTGTTTGTAGCTGAAAGTTCTAGAAGCCCTGAGGAAGAGAACACCCATACTGCCATTGTAGAGGTAGGTAAACTGAGATCAGCAGTGCGGTGACCATGCCCCGACATACTGCCTGGAGAGAGGGGGAGGAACAGAGCTCCTGACACACACACCCCACCCAGTGTATCCCTCCATGTCCTGTGTCCAGCCTTGCTCCAAGCTTTCTCATGCCGTTGGGCTCATATAATACTCCCCACTTGCAGGCAGGCATCCCCTGACCTGTCTCTGCGTCCTCGGGGCAGAGGGACAGGTGCTAGAATCAGATGTCATCAGGGTCCAGGAGGCCAGGGGCTGGCTTTCCCAGCGGGCTCTGCAGCTCTCTCTCCCCAGACTGCACAGGAGGATAGTGCCGAACAAGCAAATAAAGGTGCAACCCAATGCTGAGTTCTCTCCTCACCCCCTGCCCTGAGCCCTGTCGAACTCTCCCACTATCAAGGACATTCTCTCAGAAAGAATGGGAGAGTCTTTGGTAGGTCACAGGCTGTCCCAATCACAAAAGGAGTTCAGGCCTCTCGGGTTATGGGACACTTTCAGGCCAGAAAAAAAAAAAACAGTGATATTAAAATGCACAAACACACATGCACACCTGCACAAATACACACACACCTCTCAAAGACCCTGAAGAAAACCTATAGCCACTGAATATTCATGTGAAGCCATCAAATTATCTTAACAACACTCTCCTTAAGAGTAGAAAATGGCACCAGGCACTAGTGACTTCATCTATGATCCTACCTCATCTGGAGGCTCAGATTTGGAGGATCAAGATTTGAAGCTGGCCCACATAGAAATTTCTATGAGATGCCATCAACAAAATAAGCAGCAAGCAGCTGGATTAGAGGCAAGGCTCAAGTGGGAAAGCACCAGCTGAACAAGTGCAAGGCTCTGAGTTCAATTCCCATTATTACCACCACTAACAACCAAGATAAAGCAGGAAATGTCACATGACTCCTTTTTATTATATATCCATAGTCCATTCTAATTTCCCTCAGACAATTGTTTCATTGTAATTCCTGTTACGCTTTAAACTTGTCAGTGGCATTCCAAACTTCTTCTCTGTGATACATGCATTGAAATTACATAGTTGTATTTCCCATGACTGTAGATAGGCTTTCTGTATATAAAGAAAATGCTTCTAAATTCAGTTGCATTTTTTAATATATTACTGCTTAGAACAATATACAATGAGTTTGACAAATTTCTTGGTGTATTGACAGGTGTGTTTAGGGTGAGATATAGCTTTTACAGGTATTGGAGCTTATAAATACAAAATTTGAAATGCAAACTTCAGATGGGACCAAAATAAATGAAAAACCCATAGCTGAAATTTCCTTAGATTAAGCCTTTGATTCAATCAGGTTATACTGGGTCACGGTGTATATCTGTCAACCGCTGTATATATTGCATATTGTGAAAATGACTTTAATGGGATTCATTTTATCCCTATTCTTTCACTTACCTTCATTGTAATGTGGAGAATATTGGTTTCCACAAATAAGCGGATAGGAATAAAGCTTTGTTATAACAATGTAATTTTTTTGTTTTGATTTGTTTGGGTTTATTTGGGGGGCAGGTCCTGGGGTTTGAATTCACAGCCTAAGGCATTGTTCCTGAGCTTTTTTTCTCAAGACTATCACTCGGGCTGGGAAGGTGGATCAGTGGTAGAGCGCTTGCCTTGCATGCATGAGGCCCTGGGTTTGATTTCTCAGCACCACATAAGCAAAAAGAAAAAAGCCAGAAGTGGTGCTGTGACTCAAGTGGTAGAGCATTATCCTTGAGCTGAAATGCTGAAGGACAGTGCCCAGGCCCAGAGTTCAGGCCCCATGACCGGACCCCTCCCCCAAAAAAAAGACTATCACGCTACAACTTGAGCCACAGCTTCACTTCCAGATATTTGTGATTAACTGGAGATAAAAAGCTCAGAGATTTTCTGCCCTGGCTGGCTTCAAACCATGATCCTCGGGTCTCAGCCTCTGAGTAGGATTACAAGCATGAACCAGTAGTATCCAGCTTCTTTCCTTATTCTACTTAATTATTTTATGTGTGCAGGCACTAGGCTAGAACTCAAGGCCTTGTCCTCTCTCTTGGCTTTTTCACTCAAAGCTGGTGCTCTGTCACTTGAACCACAGCTCCACTTCCAGATTAACTGGAGTCTCATGAACTTTTCTCCCTGGACCATCTTCACACTGGGATCCTCAGATCTCAGCCTCCCAAGTATCTAAGACTACAGGCAGGAGCCATTAGCACCTAGCACTTCCTCTCTCTGTGTAGCATATAGCAGGTGCTCAATAAATATTTCACTGAGTGAATTCGTTTCCATGGACTGTAAATGAATTCATCAACACACAACGTGGAAGAACTTTGCCTCTTAGGAGCCTGTGACCTGGGGGAAGGGTTTTCATTTTGTTTCTTTTTAAGCCCAGTCCTCTTCTACTCTGATAACTCTGTGTTGCAGTGTGCCAGGAAGCAGTGTGGGAGGCATATCGGATCTTTCTGGACCGCATCCCTGACACAGGCGAATACCAGGACTGGGTCAGCCTGTGCCAGCAGGAGACCTTCTGCCTCTTTGACATTGGGAAAAACTTCAGCAATTCCAAGGAGCATTTGGATCTTCTTCAGCAGGTGAGCCTCACCTGTGGGAGGGACCTAGGAACACTGTCAGAGAGCTCCTGGGTCTCCAGCCCCTTTTGAATTGATGTCTCCAATAGAAGGGTTATTAAGAAATGCCTGGAGGGAGGGTTGGGAAGGTGGCTCAGTGGTAGAGCGCTTGCTTCCATGCATGAGGCCCTGGGTTCAATTCCTCAACACCACATAAGCAAAAAAGAAAAAACCCGGAAGTGGCGCTGTGGCTCAAGTGTTAGAGCGCTAGCCTTGAACTGAAGAACTGAGGGACAGCACCCAGACCCAGAGTTCATGCCCCACAACCGGACCCAAAAAAAAAAAAAAAGAAATGCCTTGAGATACCTGATAAAACTCACAAGAGCTTGATTTCTGAGAAATAATATCATACAGGCAGGTTGAAGTGTAGTTGAAGGGAGAAAGGAATGGAAATAGACTTGAGCTCTTCCATTACCATTATCTTCTGGTAAAAATTGCTTTTTTATCTTTTTCTTTGCAGAGAATAAAACAGAGAAGCTTCCCCGAGAGGTATGTACCAAAAATAGAGTGCTGTGTGCTCTTGACTTTTAAAAAAAAATCATTTAATGGAGTAAGTACAAGGATTTTAGGATTTTATGACAGCCGTCAAGACTGGTAGAAGTTATTCTGATAGATATCTTATGCCTTTGTTCTACTAAAGATAAATAAGTATATAAGAAGAAAATGGGGAAACCCTACAGGCTCAGGTAAATGCTGCATTGTTTGCAGGGGAAATAAAGAAATTCATCCCTGTATGACTGTTTTCATAAGCAAGCTATACAATGATTAAAAAGTTTGATTTTTTGAATTAATGGAAAACCATTAGTTGCAGAGAAATATTGAACACAATCAAAGAAGAATCTGAATTTTGAACACTCATTCGGAATTCTATAAAGTGTTAGTATTTCTCAAACAAAATTACTGAAGCATTGAACTATATCCTTAATAAGAACTGAATATCAAATAAAGAAAAGCTAAATTGTAAAACCAGAAAGGAAAAACAAAAAAAGAAAACAGGGCAGGAAACGTACATTTACTAAAATGCTTAAAAAAGAGAGAAATGGTTGATCAGTGATAAACTATTTTTTTCTAACTTTTCACAATCTAAATCTTAAGATAATACTGTGAAGAGAGAATTCCTAGAAATTCTTCATGGTACTCAAGTTTGTTTCTTAGCTCTAATTCTCTTTGTCACCAACCTAGCCAACACCATTATTAACTTACTTTATGAAAGTAATGTCAACTCTGATTTCATTAATAAAGTTCCTTGCCCCTAACCTCTTCTCTCTAGCTTGCATACTGCTGCTAAATTAATATGCCTGGCATATTCCTTCTCTTATATTGAGTCCTGCGCAGTGGTACTGAGAGATGCCAGTGGCTCATGCCTGTAATCCTACTTGCTCAGGAGGCTGACATTTGAGGATGTTGGTTCAAAGCCAACCTAGCAGGAAAATCTGTGAGACTCAGTTCCAATGAACTACCCAAAAAGCCAGAAATGGTGCTGTGGCTCAAATGGTAGAATTCTAGCCTTGAGTAAAAGGAGCTCAGGGACTGTGCCCAAGCCCAGTGTTCAAGTCCCAGGACCAGAGTTCAAGCCCCAAGCCTCAGGACTAGGGAAAGAAAAAAAAAATCATCGGAAACGTGTCAGTATTAATGTAGGTTTATAACACCTTGTACCTTTAAATGCAAACATTTTTCAGCAAGCAGTTATGACTGTGTTCTATCGAAGCTCTGGGATTCTGCAGCTCATCAGAGACAAGACCAAGACCTCAGGACCAGATCTATCTTGTTCTTCTGAGCATCTTACTAGCAGTTCCTGCCAGGGACACCTGTGCACAGGAAACTGAACAAGAACAGCTGTATAGCTGATCTCCCTGGGTCTCTCTGTCTTTCGGTTAGGACCAGCCAAAGGGGAGAAGAGAGGGGGTCCGGGGGTGGAGGAAATGCTGCCGTGGCATTCATCACACACACAGAAACGCATGCGCACACACTTGAAGTAGTTGAGAACTACTGATCTTCAACATGGACAGCTCAGCTGCTGCCTGGCCCCTCTCTCTGGCTCCTGGTTTCTTTTCGCCATTTCTAAGCCAGGGGTGGTTTTAGACACCCCAACTCCACTGCGTCTAGCCCCAGAGGTACTGCACTCTTCCCTGTGGCTTCTCTTATATTCTTGCCACAACTGAGCTAATGATTCTTCCGTTCACCTTGTCCAAATTACCCCCACTGTGCACGAGTTCCCTTTCAGCCCAGGACTGAATTGGAAGCCAGACTTATTATCAAGACCTTTCACCCCCCCCGACGCTTCCAATATTCCTTGTCTTACCCATGATTCCACTGCTGCCTCTCCCTCTCCCCCATCCCTTTTCCTGAAAGAACCTCCCTTCTCCATCCCTCTGTCCAAGTCCTAAAATCCTACTCTCTTCTGAGCAATGCTTGCCCCTCCAGGATGCTATCACAGCCCAGCTGAGCCTGCAGTGATTCCTCCCTGCCATGAGCTCCTGTTTTTCTCTTCTTCTTGAGGGGTGGGGAAGGTTGTCCTGTGGGCTTGAACTCAGGGCTTCGGCACCTATCCCTGAGCCTTTTTGCCCAAGGCTAGTGCTCTACCGTTTGAGCCACAGTTCCACTTCAGGCATTTGGCTGGTTAATTGGAAAGAAGAATCTCACAAAGTTTCCTGTCCAGGCTGGCTTCAAACCTCAGTCCTGAGATCTCAGCCTCCTGAGCAGCTAGGATTACAGGGGTGAGTGACCGGTGCCTAACAGGCACTTGCATTTATTTTTTATTTTCATTTTATTGTAAAGGTGCTGTACTGGGGGGTTACAGTTACATAAGTAAGGCAATGAGTACATTTCTTGTTGAACATTGTAGTCCACTCCTTGGTTGGCAACGGCATTTTTATTGAACATTTCCTGCAGTAGTATCAACTCCTCAAGGGCAGACACTGTCTCAGAACTCTCCAGTCTGCTGCACAAACCTGAGCCAAGTTCACACGTAGTTCACACCATTCCAAGTTACCAGCCTTACGAATCTGTGTTGCCAGGAGAAATAAGCTGGCTTAGGCATGTCACAGGAGGAGATAATTAACTTTGTTCTTCATACACACAGTGATAATGACACCCCTGGTTCAAATATAGGCTGATACTGAATCCTCCTCTTTCAAATCTAAATAAATAAAACAGAAATGAAAAGCAATGACCATCCACTAGTAAAAAAAATACCCACAGACTATCCCAGATCTAGAGAAGTATAAGTACTTCTGATGCATGTTTCTCTCATAAATTAATATATATGTGTGTGTGTGTGAACATACACGTGGTCATATGCATATATTCAAAAACACATTAATTAAAGCATAGCATAGACAGGTGAAGACTGCAAGGGAGTATCTCCTTTCAGCAACTTCTACTTTAACAGAAAGAATGCCAGGAAGCTGAAAAAATGGTTGTCAGACAAGGGTTGAGTGTACACAAAGGGGAAGGGTGTACAAATGAAGAGCGGTAGAGTGGGTGAATGCAGTCATAATATTCAAAGTACGTATGTGCAAATGGAACCGGCTAAAATGAGGGGCTGGCTGGGATTTGGAGGGAACAATGGAAGGGGTGACATGGATCCAAAGGTATTGTACTCATATCCTGAGTGACTAAATTGAGTAGCCTTTGTGCAACTGAACATGAGAGAGACGGGAAGGAAGGAAGGGAGGGAGGGAGGGAGGGAGGGAGGGAGAGGGGAAACTTTTCTCTTTCCCCTCAAACTTTTCCAAGAAGACAAAGAAAATGTTCTCACCTCACTAGCCTATGCGTGTGCCAGTTTCACATGACTTTAAAATAAAAGCCAATGGAAGACGGGGTGGCCCAGCTTTGCCAATTATTTCTCTGGACTGTGGTTGTGGATTGCCAGCTTAGAGGCTGAATTACACCTGGTCGTAAAGGCCAAGGGAAGAGCACCTGGCACTTCCTCCTACACAATGCAGGCTGCTACTTTATATCGACTGCCATGGGCAGTGTTTTTTATAACTCTCATCTGCATACGTTTCCTTTTCATAGCAGAGAAAAACAAGGAAACTGGAGTCATCATGGGAGGAAGGAAATCTGACTATCCACAAATATCCATTAAATAAGAAAGAAAAGAAACTGAGCTACTAGAATGGTGGCTATGGAGAGGGCTGATTTAAATATGATCTCCTTTTTGGTGTAGGATTGAGGTTTGAATTCAGGTCCTGGCTCCTGCTCTGCTTGCTTATTCAGCTGGTGCTCTTCCACTTGAACCACACTCTAGTCCTGCTTTTGCTAGTTTATTCTGGAGATGGAGGCTAATGAACTTTTTCTACCCAAGCTGTGGCCTGGCATCATGATCCTTCACATCTCAGCCTCCTGAGTAGCCAGGATGACAGGCATGTGCTACCAGCACCCAGCCAAAATGTATTTATTAAGCTCATAGTATATAAAGACCGTGGGATGCGGGGAGAGGGCGGAGGACAAGAACAGTGGCCTCAACTTCCACAAGAGTCTGAATTGATCAGTGGCCTGTGACATTATCACAAGTGACATCTATTTTGATGGGTCAGTCCTCAGGCAAGGATGAGTGTTACCCTTTTGAATATTGTACTCCTTGGAAATTTGGGGCATGGCAGAAATACATGGGTGCCATTCTCGATCCTGTCCAAGCTTGAAGAACCTGTAGATATGGAACATCAAACCACTAATTTAGATCTTCAGAGCATCATAAGCCACAGAAAATTAGGTTACATAGGTGACACTAACATACATACAATTCCTTGGGAGCCTTATAGTTATTAGAAACAAACGTTCCTGTGTGATTCACAAGGTAGCCCTGCCATCACTAAGTTCTAAACACCACTTGCTGGACTAGAGGTGTGGTTCAAGTAGTACAGCACCAGCCATCAGCAAGCAAACTGAGTGAAATCATGAGACCCTGAGTTCAAACTCCACTGCTGCCCAAAATAAAAATAAATCACAAATGAAGTTCGCTGGCATGGGCCCACATTCTCTACGCAGCAACTCTACCACAAAGGACTTGGACCTGATTCTGAAGTGTCTTTCACCCTTCACACACCGAGACCCGGAGCCTAGCCGCTGGCTGCTTACATGGCAGACAGGGCCGATGTCCAAAATGCACATTTAACACACCTGTATTAGAAATCTATGACTTTAACCACAGAGTTGCGTCATTATAGAAACATAACTCTGAGGATTGGCAGCCTTGAAGGTCCTAGATTTTAGAAAAAAGTATTACAGTCACAAATCCTGTCCATTATCTTTTCCATCAAGGGCACTCTGTATGCACAATGGAACTAAGACATCAAGCCCCAAAGACCCGCTTTGCCTACCAAGGAAATGCTCCCAAGGCCACACAAAGCCACGATCCTTGGTCAAACATAACCATTGGTGGAGGGGAGGATGGGCTTTTCTTCAATGAATACATTTTCAAGCTTAATTTCCATAGTGAAAAATAGCTAAATCTCATTTTATGTTTTTCTTGCAACTTTGAAGTCTGTTCAGCATGGACGCCTCCCATGGAGTGCTCTGTTCTCCCGGAATTCCTCTCACCCGCCCCTCCTTCTTTTCTGTTGCCCTCATAGCAAAGATGAACTGTCTCCTGAGCAGACACAGACAGTGACTGCAAAGACTCCTGCACACTCTCCAGGTAAGCCTGGATCATCTCATCTGCACTCGACAAGTAAGCCTAGCTCTCATCTGCTTCCCACACAAAAGTCCAGTGATCATAAAGGCAAGTCCTTAAGTGGCGCTGTGGCTCAAGTGGTAGAGTGCTCGCCTAGAGCTGAAGAGCTGAGCGACAGCACCCAGGCCCAGAGTTCAAGGCCCACGACTGACCAAAAAAAAAAATCTTTAAGGGCAATGGGCAAAGTTCATAAGGTACATTCTCATTTCTAACTGGAAGGTGCTCTAGCCTTGTAACATAATTTGCATTTGTTGTATAAAATTAGAAAAGTAGAACCATAGAATAAAAGCAAAATGCTGTCACTCATTACTCCCCAATTTTGAGGGCAAACAATAGCATTTTCTCAGAAGACCTTCGTCCTTCTAAAGACATCCATGTATTACAGAACCCAGATTGTGGCTGTTGCTGCTTTTTATTTATTTACTTTATTTGCCAGTAACTCAGAGCCTCAAACTACTCAAGGCTGACACTCTACCACTTGAGCCACAACTCTACTTCCAGCTTTCTGCTGATGAATTGGAGATAAGAGTGAGTTATATTGTTTTCAGAAACTGCTTTGTTCAATGCAACTCTTTGGACAACTACCTAAAGATAATAATAGAAAGAAAAACATGAAAAAATAAACAAAATAAATAAATAAAAGCTAAACATTAAAAAAATGTCTCAGATTTTTCTGCCTGCGTTGGCTTCAAACCACAATCCTCAAATCTCAGCCTGTTGGGTAGCTAGGATGACAGAATTACAAGCATGAACTACCAGCACCAGCCAAGAATTTTCCACTTTATATGATACAAAACTATCTTAGTACTTCTACTCTTTTCTTTCAAAAGTCATTTTTAATAACCCTTAACAGTTTTTGGTGGGTTTCATTATACTATTTTCAAACATACATTATACACACACAAATAAACAAACACACACACACACACTTTTAAACATTCAAGACAGAACTATTCATCCTCTAGGCAAAGGTTTTCCTCTGTTTATTTGATTTTGTAATATTGAGAACTCAAATTTTGATTACTTAAAATCTGTAAATTGAGAAACCAGGGGATTTCAGGCAATATTGATATCCTTTCCCCATTTTTTTAATTTACTGATATTCTATGAGACCCATATTACTCATAGTTAGATGTTTTGTGTCCATATAAGTGATGTTTAATTATTTAAGCATATAAATCTTTGTGAAATCACTAATTTCTCAATGTACATTCCAATTTTTTAAATTAAAACAAGGGTTTCTAGGCATAGAGTTATAGTTTCAATGTCCAAATGTTTGCATAAAATGAGGAAGGACCTGGGTTCAATTCCCAGCACTGGAAGAAACAACAACAATAATAAAAATGTTTAAAAACACTTGAACTTCTAAAGCTTTTAATAATTTTTACCAAATTGTCTTACAGAAATTGTATCTAACTCACTGGTTAAAAAGGTTGCATACTCGGCAAACAGATTTTTTTATATTGCTGAAATACATTTATATTTACTGTCAGGTTTTAACTATATTTCTAATAGGGCTGCTCTAATTCACAAGATTTCAAATGCAGAAATTTAAAAGTCAAATCACAAATAGTCATTTACCAAAGTAAAAATAGAAGATCCTTTCAAGCATCCTCTGTTGATAAACTGTATAAAGTTGAATATTTTAATCATTGTCAGAAAGAAAAATATTTTCCATATGTTTACTAGACGGTTGAAATTTCTCTTTCATATATTTGTCTTACCATTTCCCTACATAATTTAAGAATATTCTTAGCTAAGTATTGTGATGCATTCCTATAATATCAGCATTTGGAAGACTAACGCAGGTAAATCTCAAGTTCAAGATCATACAGGGCTTCAAAGACCCTATCACAAAAATACAATACTATATGGATGTGGATATATATGTGTATATGTATGTGTATATGTATATATATATATATATATATATATACATATTTTATACTTATTTTTAAATTTTAACTAGGCTAAGTTAATTGCACAAAGCAGCTTCATTGTGATATTTACAGCATCTGTACAATAAATTTGACCAAAATCACCCCACCTAACTTACTCTTTTTCAACCTTTTTCTCTCCTTCTACCACCTCCTTCCTACTAATTTCTGGTAGATTTCTTTGTCTTTTCTTTTTTTTGTCATTCATGAGGTTTGAACTCTGGACCCGGGTACTGTCCCTCAGCTCTTCAGCTCAAGGCTAGAGCTCTACCACTGTAGCCACAGCACTACTTCTGGTTTTCTAGTGGTTTATTGGAGATAAGAATCTTATGGACTTTTCCTGCCTGGGCTGGCTTTGAACCGTGATCCTCAGATCTCTGCCTCCTGAGTGGCTAGGATTACAGAAATGAGCCACCAGCACCCGATTCTTTGTCTTATTTTTGTACATATATAATGTATACACGCACTTTTTAAATGTTCAAGACAAAATTATTAATCCTGTAGGCAATTTTTTCAATGTGTTTCATTTTATCTATGGCAATAATGTCTCAAGAAATCAAATTCTGGTTACTTAAAACCTGTAAACTGGGCTGGGAAGGTGGCTCAGTGGTAGAGCACTTGCCTTGCATGCTTGAGGCCCTGGGTTCGATTCCTCAGCACCACATAAGAAAAAAGCCGGAAGTGGCGCTGTGGCTCAAGTGGTAGAGTGCTAGCCTTGAGCTGAAGAGCTGAGGGACAGCACCCAGGCCCAGAGTTCAGGCCCCACGACCGGACCCAAAAAAAAAAAAAAAAAAAACTTGTAAACTGAGAAACGTAGGGGCTTTATATACAATGGTGATGTCATTTCCCTATTTTTTTTTATTTTCTGACATTGTAGGAGATTCTTATGATTATAACTTCATTATCTCTCTTAAATTCTGCTCATTTACTGCCACTAGACGAGCTTGTGAACCCAGTATATAAATAGTTGACTGGCAAAACATACACACACAAATAAGAAGAGCTGCGAAATTGTTCCCTGCCCTTACAAGCCAATAAAATTGGACCTCTGAGGCCTAACCTTATGTCGACCTCAGAAATGAATTAAATACAGAAGAATAGTATATTTTTGAAAATGCTTCATCTGGATCACATTTCTATATTAGAAAACCTTCCAAATCCAATTTTTGTGCTCGTGCTTGAACTCACGTCTTCATGCGCTCACTTGACTCTCACGCAAGGCTGGGCCCTCTACCACTTGAGCCACAGTTCCACTTTCAGGCTGGCTTTGAACCTTAATTCTCTAGATCTCAGTCTGCTAAGAAGCTAGGATTACAGGCATGAGCTACGTGTGCCTGGCTCAAAATTCACTTTTAAAAATCGAAGTTAGCAGCGGTACTTACTCGACGCCATGTTGAAAATGAACTGTACAACTTGTGGGTGGTGGAATGCAGGGATAAACTAGGAGAGAATGAGGGAAGGCGTGACAGTCTCTGAAAAGAAATGTACTCCTTAACTGACTTATGTGACTGTAACCCCTCTGAATATCACCTTTGTAATAATGATAAAAACTAAAAATTAAATAGAGGTCAATATGCTTTGCCTGACAGAAACTCTGGAAATAAAAAATAAATTTAGTAGGATAAATTAAAGAGTAAGTTAAAACTAGCTTTTTCTCCAAAACTACATATTTTTCCTAACAAACCTGTATCAAACCCGTATCCTGACAAATGTTATCACAAAAGTGATTCCTGCAAGAAATGTTTGAAAAGTATTTTCCCAGTGCTTCTGCCCATCCAGGGCAGAGACCATGCATGCATCCTATGACCTTGAGATAATTTCAAAAAATACAGCTTAAAAAAAAAAACCTGCCTGGTTCTAAGTCATTCTCTTCACACTTATCCAAGATCTGGCATCAGTGACAATCTAATGTAAAAAAAAAATAGAATATCTTTACACTACAAATGTAAGTTTCGTTTGTTTTACTCAAAAGAAAACTTTCTTCTCCCAACACTTCCCACCCAGACCCGCCCATCATCGTAATTGATGAATTTGCACAAGAAGAGTAGAACTTGGATATATAAGTTTGAGATTCAAAAGTTAAATGGATGAGCCAGGTACCACGACTCACGTGTAATCCTTGTAACTGCCATTTAGGAGGCTGAGATCTAGAGGATCAAGATTCAAAGCCAGCTTGGGCAGAAAAGTCCATGAGACTCAATCTCCAAAATAACCAGCAAAAGCCATGGCTAGTGACATGGTTCAAATGGTCGAGCACTAGCCCAGCCAATAAGCTGAGCAAAAGCCAGTTCAAATCCCAGTGCCACCAATAATAATAATAATAATACTTTCTTTGGCTTCAGCCTTGAATTCGTAAAATATAAATGCAGCATTCAGAGATAGGAGAAGATTAAGTAGGATCAGATATTCATTGCACTTACTGTAACTGAAAATATTCAGTAACTAAATTTCCCAGTTACAATACATTTTCCTGAGATTAGGTTTTGATTGGAAACATTACCAAGTACCTTAGGCGTGAAGGAAATGGGAGCGCTTTTCAAAGGAGGTTAAATGTGCTAGAAGATAAATCCAGTCTCCCTAGAAATTGCTCTTTGTTTTCACAGGCTAGATAATTTCTCTTTCCAATCTAATAGTATACACAAATAACAACAAAGAAAATGTACTCCTCATATAATAGCTAAGCAGTTCTTTATTGTAAAATAGAGGGAGAATTGTTTTACACATGCCATATATTATCATATATCATATATAATAGTTATTTTATATATATTATATATATATTATATATAAATGGTTATCCATAGGATTTCAGAGTTTGAAACCACTTTGAATTAAGGCCAGGGTAACACTGCCAATCCATCTCTGCCACAGGGTTTCTCAGCTAGACACAATGGAAGAGCTCAGGTACCATTTCCTGAGGGTCTGTTTGGCCAAAGGATATGTACTTTTTGCCTTAAAAATCACCAGCTGAAAATGGAGTTGTGGCTCAAATGGGAGAACACTGGCCTTGAGCAAAAATGCCCAGACATGGAGTTCAAGTCCCAGTACCAGCACACACAAAAAAGTAAAATAATAATGCATGTGTATTACAAGGATTTTTTTCCCTTAGACAAAACCCATTCCAAGAGCTCTTTAAATATATTAAATATTCTTCAGGTATCTGAAATGGTTTATGGTGGTCTGTTTTTAAAAGAGGTAGAATTGATATGTTAATGTTCTTTCCTCTCTAAGAGTTTATGATTAAATTTTTAGTGCCTCAGATTGCTAAAGCAATCTAAGCTTTAAAACATTAGCAGGTTCTCTTTAAAAATAAATTCATAAGAACAAACTCAAGATAAATGTCTGTCTTTGCATCTGTTAGTCACAAAAACAATCAGATCTCATCAGGCCAAAGCATTTGACAATGCCATTCATAGGGAAAGACCAATTTGGGTCCTAGAATAAAGAATTTAATTAGGATGTAATTAGGATTAGGAGTATCGAATGTGTCTGTCTGTCTGTGTCTGTGTGTATGATCTTTATTTATATGATCGCTTTTTCTGTGTATATGCCAGTTTTGGGGATTGAATCTAGGGCTTGGATGTTGACCCTTAGCTTTTTTTTTTTGTTCCAGGTTAACCTGGCTATTTGTGATCTTTAAAAAATAACAGTGGATTTGGGGGGGGGGGAGGATGGGGGGGGGCCGGGGGTGGATGGGAAGGGATGGAAAGGGGAAACAATGGCGGAGGCTACAATGCTTGATAAGAAATGTACTCATTATCTTGCCCATGTAATTGTAACCCCTCTGTACAGTATTTTCACAATAAAAAAATAAAAATTAAAAAATTAAAAAAAGAAAATAAACAATGGAAGTAGTAGTAATAATAATAATAAGCCTGGCTATACAGGACGCTGAGATCTGAAGATCACAGTTCAAAGTTAGCCCAGGCAGAAAAGTATGTGAGACCCTTGGGTCCAATTAACTAGCAAAAAGCTGGAAGTGGAGGTGTGGCTCCAGTGGTAGAGCACCAGCCTTGAGCAAGAGAAGCCAAGCAAGAATTGTGAGGCCCAGAGTTCAAGTCCTAGTACCAGCAGAAAAAACATAATCCTAATAATCAGAGTGCACTTTTCCATACATACCAGAGCGACAGAAAAGGCATGTGGAATTTTGACCTTGTCCTACCATAAACTCTTGTCTCTTTGTTTTGTGCCTGTAATTTTTTTCTGCTTCCACAGATGCTGTCGATGTCTCACTTAGCCCCTTTCCTCTGATTCCTGATGACACACACGACAACGAAATCTTCAATGACACTCTGAAAGACATCAGGAAGCCTGCGACAGTAAGAAGTCCCCAGTCTGTCTAGCACTTCATTACCTAGTGTAGCAAAACAGGAGAACAGAGGCCCAGCCCACTCCCCATCACGTCCTTCCCTGACAAACTCCCCCCTGAACTCTCCACAATCCACTGCCGCTGAAGAACTGAGGGAAACAGATTGAGATCTGGGAATAATTCAAGAAGCAGCTTACTCTAAACTTAGGCACCCTTACTCTAACAGACTCTCATCTACATGCGAATCAACTGATCGCTCAAGTTCCTTCTCCACTGAAACAGAATATGTCCATGTTAACAGCAAGAGTCAAAGTTTTGTCTTAATCATGTCCATCCTGAATAGGTCAAATGGATATAAACCTTGCCTGTCAAGCCAGGCAGCAGTGGCTCACACCTGCCATCCTAGCTACTCAGGAGGCTGAGGTCGGAGGATTGCAATTCAGAGCCAGCTCCAGCAGGAAAGTCCCTAAGTCTCTTATCTTTAGTTATCCACCAGAAAACCAGAAATAGCACATAACACAAGTGGTAGAGCACCAGCCTTGAGTGAAAAAGCCTCAGGGACAGTGGTTAGGGCTTGAGTTCAAGCCCAAGTAATGGCACAAGGAGAGAAAGAGAGGCAGAAAGACAGACAGACAGACAGACAGACAGACAGATGAATAGAGGGTAGGTTCAGATGTTAATGAGTGCTACAAAAGCTAAAAAGAGGCAAAGACTTCTAGATCCTAAATGATGAAAGAAAATATGATTTAGGATTAATACTACCTTTAGATATTGGTTGCTTTTTTTTCTTTAAAAAAAAATGTGTGAATGTGGTCAGGGCAGTGGAGTGCTGCATTTGTGGGGAGAAGAGAGAGAGAGATAGATTCTGAGGTGAGGAATCTTGGGGAAAGTTCCCAGCAAGGAGATGAGCACAAGCACCATAGGTTGAGGACAATCTAGCAGTGGAAACAGAGAAGAGAGACTGACGTAGTTCAGACAGGTTGAAATCCGATGCCAGAGAACCTTTCAGGAAAACGTGTGTGGATTTCAGCCAAACACATCATAAGAAATCTGAACATACTGGGGGAGAGGCCTGAAAATTAATCCACTTTTTATACATATAGATTATCAAGACTACTCCCCATCTAGGAAGTCTGGGGAAGAATCCATGGAGAATCCATGAGGGGCAAAAGGGTACAACGATTGCACATAAAGGTGCAGAATGCTGATTCTAAACAAGTAATACCACATACCTCAAAGTTACTAAGAAGGTACATTAGCACCCAGCCAAATATTTATTCTTGACACACCCACGTCCATCTCTGTTGTCATGGCAATTTCCATTGATTGTCCTCATCGTTCAGCTTCTTTAATTTCTCCAGACATTTTTCTAACATATTTCTTGAAGCTGTAAATATCTCCGTATCACCTGGATATCTGAGGCTGAAAATCTGTCCAACTCCACATTTGAAAACTGACTCCAGGCCTCTCTCTGTGTCCTGGGAGTACATGGGAATCCGGAGTGACGAAAGCCACCCACTTCTTCCCAGACCCACAGACAAGGATGCTCTAGGCTCTGGCACTCTATGGTCAAGGCCAAATCCAGGTCCTGGGAGCAGTGATTCTGTTCTCAGCCATATGCCTGTCTCTAAAGGTGACCCAAATCTGTCATTCCTGCTGAGAAAAATCGCAAATGCGCTGTTTGCCAGGATTTTTCAACTAGTTTCAGTGTGAAGTTTAGGTGCAAATGCTCCATCATTAAACCAGTCTAGACTCTTCTCTATAAAAAGGATTATATTAATCTGTCAGCATCCATAGGTTACTTTCCTTAATCCAGTTCGCAATAGAATATTTATAGACAATCTCACAGTGTGTGTGTGTGTGTGTGTGTGTGTGCGCGCGTACTGTCCCTTAGCTTTTTCCACTCAAGGCTGGTGCTCTACCACTTAAGCAGCAGCTCTACTTCTGGGTTTTTGCTGATTAATTGGAGATAGGAGTCTCACAGACTTTCCTGTACAAGCTAGCTTCAAACCTTGATCCTCATATCTCAGTCTCCTGAGTAACTAGGATTATAAGCATGAACCACTGGTGCTTGGCAACATTGATATATGAAAATAGCCCTGGATTTGAGAAAGCAGGAGTATATATGTTTGTATGTAAGTGAAGTCATGAGGACTCGGGCCATAAAACAGTTAACTCATTGGAGCTTTATTATTTTGTCTCTCAGAAAAATTCAGAGGCTGCTTCTAGTTCATAGGACTTTTATTCCAAAGGCTTGTGATTATTCACAATCAGCTTCTTGATATAATAACCAATATCTTATAGTAAAATAGCTATGTGGTTTGCATGAACAGAAATCTTTTTGGGTTTTGGCTTGTTGTTTGTTTGTGTTCACTCAGGAAAGAGAAGCAGGATTCACTCACGTGTCTGAAGGCCTGCTGGATCAGAAGGTAGAGTTCAGCATCTTTCTCCCAAATCAGAAGTTCAAGGCGGAACTTGCTGATCCCAGATCTCCATACCACCAAGAACTGGCAGAAAAGTCACGGCTGCAGGTGGGTGAGTGGACCCAGCCCACACCATATACCCCACATCAGGTCGTCACAGGAGGCTAGCAGTCAGTATGTCAGCAGCACTTACATCCTTTTGGCTCCAATTTCTCATGCCTAGAAATTTATTTTAACCATGAAAAAGGAAACAAACACTAGAAGTCCCCAAGTTGAAAACTGTCCATTGTCACTGTTCCATTCTTAGACATTATTCACATGGAGGCTTTCTCTGAATATCAGTAGGTTTTTAGACTTCATGTAACAAACAGCTACAGACATCCTGTGTATCTGAAGGACGTTACATGAGTGCTAATTCCAACATTCAATCAGACATACACATTTTATGATTCTTTTTTCGCACAAGCACTCACTCTAGCCCAGGCTAGCCTTGAACTCTCAATCATCTGACCTTCCCCTCCTAGGTTCTGGGATTATAGGTAGGCGCCACCATGGCTGGCATGTTTCGCTATTTGTATGTCAATCCAACATCAGTAAAGCAGATTAAAATTTTTTAAGAAAAAAATAAATAATAAAACGAGCCCATAGAGACCAATGAGAAAATATGCTGGGTTGTAATATGAATTTTTAATTCATCTACTATGTCTTTACGAAGTATTTGGGGTGGGGGTGGATGCCAGTCCTGGGGCTTGAACTTAGGACCCTGGATACTATGTCTTAGCTTTTTCACTCAAGGGTGGCACTCTACCACTTGAGTCATCATTCTACTTCTGGCTTTTTGCTGAGTAATGAGAGAGAAGAATCTCATAGACTTTTCTGCCAGGGCTGGCTTTGAACCATGATCCTTAGGCCTCAGAATGCTGAGTGGCCAGGAATTAGAGGTGTAACCCATATTTCTGCTTTTGTAGTTCAATGCTATTTAAGAACATGACATTTTTCATGGCTGATGGTGAAAGCAGCTCTATTACATGACATCAATTACTAAAGGCAGAATTTCCCCACCTTGTCTCCTCCATCTCCAATCAGCCATGTATCTATCTGGCCCTGGTTGGATTCAAGGGCTCTAATTCCCTGCAGGCTAAATCCAACTACAATGCTGAATGTCACACTTACATACCAATGATAAGCTCCTGCCTTTTTTTCCCAGCCGTATCTTGGAACAGTTTTGAATCATCTCTCTTCTTCGCATTCCAGTTTCCAGAAATGCAAACTATGTGCACATCCCCCACCACCACTTCTTGTTTCCTCCAAGTGTCATTTTAGGTCCTGGGGTTAGGGGTCGGAGTGGAAACAGAGCCCCTCTACTGCCCATACTAACTCCCAATGTGCGTTGCGGCCACAGCGCGGTACACATGGCTCACCATGACCGTGATGGCACTGGTTTGTTTACAAGTCTGTGTTGCTACTTCTGTGGCTCCTTCCCTCCTGGCCAACTCTGAGCACCAGCAGGCTCTGAGGATCCCTGAGACAGAACAATCTTGAACTCTAATGCCCTAATAGAGAACAGGGGACTGTAATTATTAACAAGGCAGTTGCAAAACATTGGCACTGAGAGATCACGCAATCACAAGGTTTAATTTTGTATTCATATTTGTGTATGTGTGTGTGCATGTGTGCACACAGGTAGGTGCAAATGTGCCTGTCCCAGGGCTTGAACTCAGAACCTCAGCCTTGGGCCCTGTCCCTGAAATTTGTCTTTTTTTCTTCACTCCAGGCTAGTGTTCTATCACTTGAGCCACAGCACCACCATGGCTTGTTGTTAGTTAATTGGAGATTGGAGTTTCAAGAATTGGCTGGGAATCTGGATGCTCAGATCTCAGCCTCCTGAGTAGCTAAGATTACAGGCATGAACTTATTATTACAGCACCCCGCTCATGTATATAATTTTTTATTATCCATAAGTAGTTGTACAAAAAGGTTTCAATCCGACACATCAGGGTATAAGTACAATGTGACCCTTCTGTGGTTCTCCCCTTTCTCCCCCACCCTTAGCCACCCCCTCAAGGCACCTGCTTCCATGTCCACGTCATACACAGAATGTTATGACTGCATTAATTCACCTTGCCTCCCTCCATTTGTCTTCCCTCTTTCCACTTGACTTCACCCCACCCCATGCATTTCAGCTTCCTGGTATTCATTTGGTTAAACTGTAAGTCTCGCCATTGCAAATCCCTCCTGAGTATACCACATTTCCGTCTAGATGTTTGTCTGTGGATGCAGGTGGCCCTGTCTATATTTTCATGTATTTTTATGATTTAGATCTAACTTCACAGAACACATTTGTGGCTAGCCTATGAGCACATGCCTCACACCCAGCATGGCCAGTGTACACCAAGACCCCGGGCTTCTCACACGTGAGACTCTGATACTCCCATCCCTCACCCAAGGAGAAGGTCCAGATGCAAAATATCCTCCGACCTCTCCCTGCATCAGCATTTGGCCAGTAAAACACATAGCATCCTTTCCACAAACTTCAGGTCAGCATAAGGGATTCATAAAATACAAAACCGGAAGTGGAGGTGTGGCTCAAGTGGTAGAGCACCAGGCTGCAAACAGACAAGCCCCAAGTTCAAGCCCCAGTGCTGACACCTAAAATACACAAGTACTTAAACATGGATTAGCAGACAGAATGAACTAAAGAATAGTTTGTTGACCTTTCAATTTGCTCCTTGAATCATTCTTTCTATCAAATCTTGAAGGAAGTCAGAGTAAGCTGAGTGCTGGTGGCTCATGCCTGTAATCAATCCTAGCTACTCAGAATCCTGAGATCTGAGGGTCATGGTTCAAAGCCAACCTGGGCAGAAAAATCTGAGACTCATATCTCCAATTAACCACCAAAAAGCCAGAAGTGGAGCTGTGGTTCAAGTGGTAGACTACTAGTCTTGAGCACAAAAGCTCAGGATCAGAGCCCAGACCCTGAGTTCAAGCTCCAGAACTAGTACAAAGAATAAAATAAAATAAAGTCAGAGTATTTCAAAGTTATATAATTGGCCATAGACTCTCTACTAATCTGTTGTTAATTCTCTAAGCAATGTAATAGACAGCAACAAATGTACTGGGTATGTCTTAAGAAATCTGAGTCTTAATTCTCATCTCTACCAATAATGAGCTGTGAAAATTTAGGATGACTTGCTTTCCTGTTTCGTTTCCTCCCTCACATATTGAAAATGACCTCAAAATGCCTTTCCACATCTAACTTTCTAACTGCCATGTAAAGAAATAATGGCTAATGCTAGGATGATTTACATGTATAAATTCACTGAATATTTCATACAATCCTATAAGTAAGTAGAACCAGAGGGATCTCTTTTAGCTTCTTTGCTCAATATTGCTGTTCTATTACTCGAGCCACACCTCCAGTTCTGGATTTTGTTAGTTAATGGGAGCTAAGAATCTCATAAACCTCAGGCTGGCTTCTTTCTACAACTTTCAGATATCAGCCTTCAGAGTAGCAAGGATTACAGGCATAAGCCACAGGACCCAACTATTTCTCAACTGGGGCCTGAGAAGACTAATCTGCCAGACAAAGGGCAGATCTGTTACTTGGTATAACCAAGATTTCTACCCAGGCAGTCTGTCACGCCTGCATCCTTGCTCTTGGCCATCATCCAGTTCCTCCTATTTCCTAGATGCAGATTTCTAGAGAAACGCCCATTGGATCATACCCCATTGGTCACCCCTTTTCTAGTCTCTGCAAATTAGACAGGTCAGGCACCAGTGACTCAAGCCTGTAATCCTAGCTACTCAAGAGGCTGAGATCTGAGGATTGCAGTTCAAAGCCAGCCTGAGCAGGAAAGTCCATGAGACTCTTATCTCCAATAAACCACTCAGAAAACCAGAAGTGACACAATGGCTCAAAGTGATAGAGTGTTAGCCTTGAGTTGAAGAGCTAAGGGACAGCACCCAAGCTCAGCATTCAAGCCCCACAACCGACAAAAACAAAACAAAAAAAAATATTAACTAGTCAAAGACTGTAACTTGCTCACCCCTGTTGCAAAGACTCAGCTCCTCAATCCTGATATTTGCTTTGTGCAGTCTCATTCCTCTAAAAAGAAGTCCCTCTGTCTGCAGCCTTTAGTCTCCTCCCAGCTCCTGATCCAGACCACCCCCACCACAGGGTAAGCCATTAGGAAATCACACACACCCCAGAGCACCCCCACAGCCCACCATCTGCATTAGCACATCTATTAGGGACTAACCAGGAATTAATGGACAGTGCTTTGCAGCAATTTAATTTTCACAATAAACCTAATGAGCAATTTAATACAAATGTCAAACAGGATCGCTTAGCTGTTGTCTGAATACTTTCTCCTGTGTAAACATTCAGGGAAACTCAACAGAGCTGCTTTTTTATATATATATAATAGCCCATTAACATCCATTCCAGCAGAATCAAACAAACCTCTTGTGCATTAGTATTATTAATAAGATTAACTGGGCACTTAATTAGAAATTTAGTGCTTAGAGCACAATCGGAAGGTTCGCCCTAAAGATAACCCAAGCAGTATTAACCCACAGCTTTTGGGGGGGTCATCTTTTACACCCTCCTAAGCAAAGCTGACTCTTAATTGATGACAGAGATGTTCACAGAAGAGGCCTGGACCAGGCAAATAGTAAACCCTCCTGCCCTGCCTCCTCCAACAGAGCACTGGGCGCTCTGGAGAGTTCCAGGCGCAAGCCACTGCCTTCCCAGGGCTGGTCCCCACTGCTCACCGGGTAACCCCAAGCTCTGCAAAGCTTTGGGCACTTATGGACTATTTTCACAGGCGGAAGAGTAGTTCTGCAAAGAGTGATGCTTCTCAGTCTTTTCACATCAGGAGATCCAGCTCTCCAGATCTCCTGCTGGTCTGGGGAAGGAACCTTATCATCGTGCTTTTTCCCACTGAGTTTTTTTTTTAATTGAAGGGTATCTGTGTCCTTGCCAGGTCCCAGGTTCTGTGATCCCTGGGGAAACAGAGAAGAACAAGCTTTGGTGCAGCTGGAATCCCATAGGGCAAGTGGAGCAGAAGCAAATAAATCACAGAGCTTCACCAGTCTGCCAGTCTGCCAGATGTGTGCCAGACACCTGTGACTTGCTAGTGATCCCTTAACAAATGGATTTGGTTATCCCCTTGTCCTAAGGAGACCAAGATGTAAAGAGACTAAGCAATAAACGCAGTCTTAGAGCTAGAAGCTAGCTAATAGAACCCATATTTAAACCCAAGTATCTCCTTGTTGTCCCCAAACTTCAGTCATTTTTGTCACTGTAGATATTCAGGAAATAAAAACTAGTGTTAATATTGGTACAAGAAAGTACAATGAGAAAGTGAATCAGTCCACCATGGAGCGTGTGGGGGCGGGGGGGGGGGGGGGGGGGGGGTGGATCCATGATATAATCCAAAGCTATTGCCTGAGATAGCCAAGATTTCTACCCAGGGGTCTGTGACCAGCTGTATCCTTGCTCTTGGCCATTAATCAGTTCCTCGACTGATTTGGGGATTGACTGAGTACACATGACTGCTCTGAACCTGGGTACCAGAAACACAGACGCAGTGATGTTAGATGTGGTGACAGCACCATGGTGACACTCAGTGGAGTGAACAGATGGGAGGGAGACATCCACTCAATTCATACACTATCTACTCATTCCCTCTTTGCCAACCACAATTGGCTAGATGTTAAGGATAAGAAAGGTTACAATGTAAAAACAAGACATAGAGCCAGGTGCTGGTGGCTCATGCCAGTAATCAGAGCTACTCAGGAGGCTGAGTAGCCTCCTGAGATCTCAGTTCAAAGCCAGTCTGGGGAAGAGAAGTCCATGAGACCCTTATCTCCGACTAACCAGCAAAACTCTAGAAATATGGGTGTGGCTAAAGAGGTAGAGTGTGAGCCTTCAGTGAAAAAGCCACACAAAAGTGTGAGGCCCTGAGTCCAAGCCGCAAAGCCAACACACACACACACACACACACACACACGAGAGTGGGAGATCATGGGGCAGGGAGCATGATCTTAGAATAGGAAATGGACAAGGTACACACCTCATATGGTATATAGTGTAAAATGAACTAGAGCATAAAAAAATGACAGGAAATATGACAGCCAGACTGCATGGAATGAGAGGCACTGATTCAAAAGAGACTTTCTAAAATAATTAAAACTGCTGGGCACCACTAGTTCACACCTGTAATCCTAGCTACTGGGGAGGCTGAGATCTGAGGATCCCAGTTCAAAACCAGCTTTGACAGGAAAGTCTGTGGAACTTTTATTTCTAATAAATTACCAAAAATAAATAAATAAATTGCCAAATAAATTAGCTAATAAATTACCAAAAATAAAGTTGGAAATGGAGCTATAGTTCAAGTGGTAGACTGCTAGTTTCTTTGAGCAAAAGAAGCTCAGGGACAGCTCCTGAGCTCCAGGATGGAAAAAGAAAAAAGAATTAGACCTTATTCAACAGAGAGTGCAGCCCATATTGGGATATTTACCCAAAATTCACCGATTATAGAACAATTAATTTAGAAAGGGAAAGACTTTTCCTCCCCTTTCTTCCTTTCTTCATCCTTTTCCTTCTTCTCCTCCTCAACTTCCTCCTCCTCCTCTTCTTTCTCCTCCATAATCAAGAAACCCATTTCAATAGTTTCAGAGGAAGGGTGTGTCAGCCACGGGAATGAGAAAGAGGCAGACATGATGGGAGCAAACACCTCGTGGGAGTCACACTAGCAGGAGTCTGGTGATCACATGGTAGCGAGCATCATAGGGAAACAGGATCTAGGGCTGCTGGGCTCTCTGGTGCAGCCAGCATGCATACTCCTGACCTTCACTGAGGCGGAGTCAGGCCTAGGGCTAAGGCAGACTGCAGAGGAAGAGAGTGGCCTTGCTTTGGCCAGGTTCAGTTAGTGGCTAAGGTGGAGATGTTCATATGTGTCATGTGATTGCTGGAGCCACAAGAGAGTGAGGGAAGGCAAGGCGAGGTTCCTACTCACTGTCCAGTGGGTTCTCCCACCAAGCTTTTCTCCCTCGTTGCTCTCGCCTTCCACCCTTTCTGCAGGAAAGATGGATGGGTGGTAGGGTATGGGGCCTAGTACAGAGCTGGCTGCTTTGCTTATGGGGTTCACTGCAGGTTTAGGGATGGGAGCTTGCAGATTCACTAGATTGAGTTAAGACAGGAATAAAATGGGGCAAAGAGACTGAGGGACTGCTGAGAGGGATGGAATAGAGCCAGGAAAGGACAGACAGGCCATGGTGAAGAGGGAACACAGAGTGACACAGGATTTAATGAGCACCTTTATGAGAGACTTTAGCTAGGAGAGAGCTTCCTGGAAAGGCCAGCGTGTATGGAGGAGACATAGGGCGAGGGCGAGGGAGTGGTTGCGTACAACAATTCTAAATCATTAATAAGGACAAATGTTTAAAACTTATTGGACATCTACAAAACTCCAAGAGAAAATCTAATCTGTTAGATTAGAATATATCTTCTTGTTCAATTAGTCACAGCAGTTGTTCTGATGTTAAGAATATCATTAATATGATAGATATTTCTCAGTTCATCCAATTTGATTCAAAACACATGATAGTAGCAGTACTATAATTAACTCTAATCAGAGTTTGAAAATATATTATTCTGTGTCAGTAAAATTACCAAGTAGCCAGAAAAGTTTTCTCCAAATACCACCTTAAAGTTATTTTCTATATTATATAAAGTAACTATAAAAGCAGCTCAGAACTACCCAGTCATGTCTTCTAAATAAATAGCAAAATAATTTCCTCTGAGTTTCAGAAATAACTGAGAACAAAGAGTTTGACCTCTTTGGTTGTTTCAAGTTTCAATTTTCCATTTTCATTTTCTCCCCTAGCTCATCAAAAGTATTTAGGCTTTTTTCACTTTGGTAATCTGCCCCAGTGGAACCAAAGAACATGTCACAAATATCTTTCTCTCTGCAGTTGCAAAAGGAATTTAAGAAAGTTCCAGGATTCAAAGAAATCCATGTGTTAGGATTTAGGTAAGTAAGAGAATGGGACTCTTCTCAATTTTGAAATTACTTTCTTCTTATCTAATTTTAAAAGAGATGTCATGAGAATTATAAGGTCTTTTTCCTCCATTGTTTAGCTCTGCCAAGTCCTGAGGACTGAATACATTTCACATAAAGGAAATGTCTAATTAGAATATGACTCCCAGTGATTTTTAAGAGTTAGCACAGAAGTGTATTCCTTCCTTCTTCTGGGAGTCAGAAATGCTGCCTCCTCCAGAGCTGACCTTGACAATGACGCTAATGAACCTTTCGGGAAAATATCTCACAAGCAGCAAAGAATTGCTGGGGTTTCAGGTTACCTGGCTTCCTACCCAAGCTTAACTCTCACCGTGTTACCCAAGAGAGATAGGAAAGCTTACATGGAGAAAACACGGCCCCTATGGGCACAGGGTTAAAAGCCAGATTTCTAACAAAGATCTTTCACCTTACTTGAACATATGAACTTCAGTAATGTGTTACATCTTGGATATTGTTAAATTAAATTTTTAAATAAAGAAATGAAATCATAAAGCCATGTCATGTCACCCTGTTTCCATAGCTTTGGCACAAACAGGCATGCAGCCAGTTCTACCCCGAGAGTAAGGCAGGTTCAAGGGATTTGGGGAAAAATTTTTATGTCTCCCCCTAGATGCTCATTATTTCCAAAATCTATAGGAAGGGTCATAAGATAGTTTGGGGGCTGAGAAGGTGGCTCAGTGGTAGAGCGCTTGCCTTGCATGCCTGAGGCCCTGGGTTCGATTCCTCAGCACCACATAAGCAAAAAGAAAAAAGCCGGAAGTGGTGCTGTGGCTCAAGAGGTAGAGCACTAGCCTTGAGCTGAAGAGCTGAGGGACAGCGCCCAGGCCCAGAGTTCAGGCCCCACAACCGGACCAAAAACAAAAATTAAAAACAAGATAGTTAGTTTGGGAGAAAAACAAGATGATTTGCCTCTCTATTTGTTTTAACAATGCCACCAAGTAAATATTAGTCTTGGTGTGAACAGGTTAAGATTCCATGCTCCGAAGGGATCTGAGAATGGAGACAGCCTCACCAGAATTTCTCCTACCTCCCATCTTAAGGAGGATGCTAGATGCAACAAGGCTTAAAAAAAAAAAAAAGGAATGCCACCAAGTAAATATTAGTCTTGGTGTGAACAGGTTAAGATTCCATGCTCCGAAGGGATCTGAGAATGGAGACAGCCTCACCAGAATTTCTCCTACCTCCCATCTTAAGGAGGATGCTAGATGCAACAAGGCTTAAAAAAAAAAAAAAGGTGACACTGGTCAAGATGCTTTGTATTCATAAACTTTGTTGAATGGCAACTACTTTGTACAACTACTGAAAGATAATGAAACTATTTTTAAAAAATAAAATAAAAGAGCTTCCGGGGCAGCAATGCTTGTAAAGAAGAGCTTCCGGGTGCACACACCTAATTTCTTCTCCCCATCTGTAAAGTTCTATTGATTTGCCCAAAGGAAGAAAATATTGAAAAGTAATCAAAGATGAAACTCTCATTATCTATCAAAACAAATTCATTTTAGTTTCAAGACACTACTCTGCAGTTCTCCACATGAAATCAGATGGATTAGAGAAAAATAAAAAGTGATAGAGAAATATTTTGCATCGATGGCAAGATCTTCTAAATAAACCACTGCAGTTAAAGAAGAAAATTTTAATCTAAAGCCGAAGGAATCTATGAGAATACTTCTCCTGGTGAATGATTAAATGTTCATAGCGCCTCCCTTCAATAAATGAAAAACCAATTTGCAAAATCTATTTCAGAAGAAAACCAAAATGTTAGAAGATGAAACTTTCCATGCTAAAGCTTTTAAAGATTTATCACTGGAAGCTGAATTTCCCCCCGGCGTTTATCTCTGTAAGGATTTATGTTCATTTCTGCCAAAGGTGCTTATGAAGCTAGTGTGATTCACATTTTACTGCTGATTTTAATTGTGTTAAATTGGGTCCACCAGAGAATATTTTATGCCTGGACAGGGCACTGGTTGCTCACATCTGCAATCCTGGCTACTCTAGAGGCTGAGTTCTAAGTATCAGGAATCGAAGCCAGATGGGGCAGAAAAATCTGTGAGAATCTTATCTCCAACTAACCACCAAAAAGAACAACAGAAGTGGAGCTGTGGCTCAGATTGGAGGAGCATCAGCCTTGAGGGAAAAGTCTAAGGGACAGCACCAAGGTCTTGAGTTCAATCCCCGGTACTGGCATTATTTTTGCCCTTGAATGTAATAACCAATTAGCTCCGGAGCAGAACAAACTTTCAGTCATTAACAGGCGTGCTCAGGATATTGTAAAGTAAACTCATTATAAGGAAATTGCTTTCCTTCTGAAGCCAGATTCCTACAGAAGACTGAAAATCCTGTGAGTGCCACGGTACTATCTTTCCTTCCACTTGTATAAAATCTGACTCCAAAGTTCACAAGTACTTACCCATCAGTGAGATCATTTGAATCCCTCCACACAATTGGAGAGTCATTAGGATGTCTACTATTAGCACAATTGTTTTTACAGTTCGTCTCTCAGCACACATTCGTAGTATAAAGGGCCGTCCCTGGCATGATTGCACAAGTGTGTGCAGCGTCCTTCCCTCAAGTGCACCCCTTCTCCTTCATTCCCTGACCACCTCTAAATCTACTGAGCATACTCTCTGCTGTAAATGTCGCTTTACCTTTACAGCCAGCATGGGAAAGTGTCAATAGTCATTCAATCTAGTACAAGAATAGAGTGTTCCACAGGCTGGTACACAAATATCCTTAGCAGCTTCATGCATAATATCCAAGAGCTGGAAACAAGCAAAAATGCTCCATCATCAGAGCAACAGAAAAATAACCCAAGGCCTGGCACTAGTGGCTCACGCCTGTAATCCTAGCTACTCAAGAGGCTGAAATCTGAGGATTGCAGTTCAAAGCCAGCCTAGGCAGGAAAGGCTGTGAGACTCTTATCTCTAATAAATCACTCAGAAAACTGGAAGTGTCGCTGTAATTCAAGTGGTAGATTGCTAGCCTTGAGCTGAAAAGCTGAGGGACAACACCTAGGCCCAGAGTTCAAGCCTCAGAAACAACAAGAAGGAAAGAAAGAAGGAAAGAAAGAAAGAAAGAAAGAAAGAAAGAAAGAAAGAAAGAAAGAAAAGAAAGAAAGAAAGAAAGAAAGAAAGAAAGAAAGAAAGAAAGAAAGAAAGAAAGAAAGAAAGAGAAAGAAAGAAAAGAAAGAGAGAAAGGGAGGAAGGGAGGAAGGGAAGAAGGGAGGAAGGGAGGAAAGAAGGAAAGGAAGGAAGGGAGGAAGGGAGGAAAGAAGGAAAGGAAGGAAGGGAGGAAGGAGAGAGAGAAAGAAAGAAAGAAAGAAAGATTGGGAAGGTGGCTCAGTGGTAGACCGCTTGCCTTGCATGCTCGAGGCCCTGGGTTCGATTCCTCAGCCCCACATAAGCAAAAAGAAAAAAAAAAACGGAAGTGGTGCTGTGGCTCAAGTGGTAGAGTGCTGAGTGCTAGCCTTGAGCTGAAGAGCTGAGGGACAGCACCCAGGCCCAGAGTTCAGGCTCCATGACAAGAAAGAAAGAAAGAAAGAAAGGAAGGAAGAAAGAAAGAAAGAAAGAAAGAAAGAAAGAAAGAAAGAAAGAAAGAAAGAAAGAAAGAAAGAAAGAAAGAAAGAAAGAAAGAAAGAAAGGAAGGAAGAAAGAAAGGAAGAAAGAAAGAAAGAAAGAAAGAAAGAAAGAAAGAAAGAAAGAAAGAAAGAAAGAAAGAAAGAAAGAAAGAAAGAAAGAAAGAGAAGAGAAAGAAAGAAAGAAAGAAAAGAAAAACAACTGAAGCTAATTTTCACTGTGGAGTCATCCTTACTGTAGTAATGGAATCCAGAACAACATGGCGACTTCTCAAAAAAAACAAAAAGCCTATGTTGAATGAAAGAAGCCAGACAGAAGTGTCCTATGATTCCATTTATAGTAAACTGTACAAAATGCAAACTGATCTGTAGTTCCAGAGAAGAGATGAACAGTTGTATCAAGAGGGTAGGGGGAAAGGGCGGATGTGCCCGATTTGTTTACACACTGATACATCTATAAAGCAATTGAAAATTTAAAAAAATGTTTGCAAGACTAGGGTCTTGGCCCAAGAAGTCTGGCATCTCTCTGAGTTCCATAGATTACAAACTATAGATGAAAACAAGCCTGGGGCATTTACTGCTAGTGGATGGATGTCTGATTGGTGGAGAAGGAAGGCTGTTCACAGAGCTCAGTGTTGATTGGTCAATCCTAGATTGCCCAGTCTCCATGGTAGAAAGTGGAAGTGTCTACAGCATGTCTATCTCTGTCTTGTGACAAGAGAGGAAGAACGGTGGATGAATTGACACTCCACACAGAATGACCAAGGACCACTGTCACCCTAACCTAAAACCCAACTAAAGTGTAGGCTATTTTTGTAAGCAACCAGCATTTGAAATGGAAAACGAAAAAGCTGAACATGGCTTCTAAAGCAAATCCACACATAGGCTCACCGAAGTCTAAAATGGTTCTGGCCGTATGGACCAAAGGGCCTTCTTTTTAGGCACCAGCAAATAGTGGCATGGCAAAATAAGCTCAGGCCAGGGTTCAAATCCCACCTCAGCCACATCTAACTGAAACTTTGCCTCTCTGAATGTAGTCCCATATCCGTGAAGGGGGGGCTTGTGTGATGAATCCACTAAAGAAGAATTCAGCCAGGCACTGAGCCTCACACCTGTAATCCTATCTACTCAAAAGACTGAGATCTGAGGGTTGCCATTCAAAGTCAACCTCTTCTCTCCAGTTAACCAGCAAAAAGCAAGAAGTGAGGGTGTGGCTCAAGTGGCAGAGTACCAGCCTAGATTGAAAATGTTAAGAGATAATACCTAGGACTTGAGTTCAAGCTCTAGTCCACACACACACACACACACACACACACACACACACACACACTAATAATAATAAGAATTATTATTATTATTGGCCAAAAACTAGTTCTAGGGGTCAATATCAGATTATTACTTTCAAGAATAAACTACTAATCATTTAATGGAAAAAAAGGCAGGTGTTTATAATACACTTTTTGAGCTGGGTACCAGTGGCTTACGCCTATAATCCTAGTGACTCAGGAGGCTGAGATCTAAGGATTGAAGTTCAAAGCCAGCCCGGGCAGGAAAGTCTGTGAGACTCTTATCTCCAATAAACCACTAGAAAACTGGAAGTGGTACTGTGGCTCAAGCAGTACAGCGCTCACCTTGAGCTGAAGAGTTCAGGGACAGCGCCCAAGCCCAGAGTTCAAGCCCTACAACCGACCAAAACAAAAAAAAGAAAAAAAAACTTTTTGTAAACTCCCCTAGCAATAGTACCACCTAAAGCATAATACATGTAGTCAATTTGCAACTTCTTTAACCAGTGATACATGAAGAATAAAATCTCAAATTCTCATCATAAACATGGCATAATGATACTTACATCCTGAGATTCAAATAGTTTTCAGAGTTTCCACCCAAGTTCTGATGGCATTTTGTATGTTTTCTTCAAAGCTCCAGGCACATATAGAAGAAAGTGCAAGGGAAAAAGTTGTGTATATGAAATAATTCGTTAATTACTTCAATGAGTCTTATAAAAATTCTCTCTTCCTTTGCATATTTCTGTGGCATATGATGGATAAAATGAAGACCAAAGAAAGAAAGAGATGGGTAATTCTTTTAAATGTTTTAAATACAGTATATTTTTCCTCCACAAATGTATATGCTAGTTTTTGAACAAATAGTATTTATATATTATGGTTGTGTCAAACCAATGTGTTTTTAGAAGTTTCTTATTTAAATGGAAGCAGTTGATTAAAATAATCATAAAAACTCACAGGTCAATAATCTATGTGAATGTGGACCTGTTGCAACAATGAGAAGTACAAGTTGTCATGTCCAAAACAAGCTTTACAAGGTTGGTCATCGGTGCAGGGCGGGGGGGGGGGGGGGGGGGGGGCGCCAGGGGGAAGGAGAAGGATTGGGATTGCGGGGGGAGGGGGGCAGGCTGGGAAGGGAGGTGAAGGGTAAACAAAGGAGGAGGCTGCAATGCTTGGTAAGAAATGTACGCATTATCCTGCCCATGTAATTGTAACCCCTCTGTACAGTATGTTCGTTCACAAATAAAATTAAATTAAATTTCAAAAAAAATAAATAATCTATGTGAAGACAGGAGTCAGTGGCTCATGCCTATAATCTTAGCATCTCAGGAGGCTGAGATTTGGTTCAAAGGCAGCTGGGGCAGAAAAGTTCATGAGACTTCATCTCCAAAATAATCAGCCAAAAGTTGGACTGGGAGTATGGCTCAAGTGGTAGCGTTCCAGCTAAACAAGCCACTACAAGATCTTGAGTTTAAACCTTTATATCATTAGAAAAAAAATCTATATGAGAAAGTCAGGGAAACATTGATTTGGTTAAGATCCTATCAAGCCTAAGATCTAACTAGATAAATGTGAAAATGTGTGGTTGCAATGCAAATATGACTTAACAATTTCTTACATATTGCTTGTAAGGGGATTTCGTGTGACTGCACACACAAACATGCACCCATCTGCGTTAATACAGAGAAATGAATGTGTTCCTTGGTTTCAAGGTCATTTTGAATGTGAGAAAGGATACTCCATTCTTTGCAGTGCTCAGTAATTGAGATCCTACAATTGACCAGTGAAATAATGAACTCTACCCAATTGTGTGGTCTGAAGAAATGTCAAAAACACACATTATCCATCCCGGTGGCCTTTAAAATACTTCTGCAGTCCTCTGTGTAGATTTACAGCATGAACCAAAAGGCCAACCCTGATTCTTGCAGCCAGAGCTATAGCTCAAGGACAAGCTATAATCTTGTTTCTGTTTTTGCATACAAAAAGGCATTCTGTTTATAACTATGATAGTAAACCCAGTGAACCATACAATGTATTGATTTCCTCCTTTTCTCTTCTCTTCTGTCTGTTATTTTATACACTCCTTCTGCTTATTTTTGTAGGTTTCTTTGTGTTGTTTGTTTATTTTAGAGAGTCTTACTGTGCAATCCTTACTAGCCTCAGATTGCCTTTCCTTCTGCTTCAGCCTTATCAGTGTTGGGATTACATCCACCACATCGCCCAACCAAAGTATTGTTTGGGCTTTGTTCTTCCTAAAAATTACTTTGTGTAAACAAATGGCCTACAGAACTGGTTTCAGTATGCATAACCTTTTGTCCTACTACTGCAAATTATATTGGTATTTCATAGAGCTTCATAAAGACTTCTATTTTTCAAAGAAAGGACAATTCATCTCTTTTCCTGACTTCATGATTTTTAAAACACACACACACACACACACACACACACACAGGTCCATTAACATTGGACCACTTACATTATTTTCCAAATGATATAAAGAAAATACAACTGAAGAGGAAAAAAGGATGGCCAATAGACACATGAAGAAATGCTCAACCTCCCTAGCCATAAAGAAATGCAAATCAAAACAACATTGAGATACCACCTCACCCCAGGTAGGATATCTATAATCAAGAACTCTAATAACAACAAATGCTGGAGGGGATGTGGACAGAAGGGAACCATACTGCATTGTTGGTGGGAGTGTAAACTTGCTCAACCACTTTGGAAAGCAGTATGGAGGTTCCTCAAAAGACTCCACATAGAGCTCCCCTATGACCCAGCAATCCCACTTTTGGACATTTACCCAAATGATCACAAACAAGACCACACTAAAGCTACCAGCACAACTATGTTTATTGCAGCATTATTTACCATAGCTAAGATCTGGAACCAACCCAGATGTCCCTCAGTAGATGAATGGATCAAGAAGATGTGGTATATATACACAATGGAATTCTATGCCTCCATGAGAAAGAATGACATTGCCCCATTTGTTAGGAAATGGAAAGACTTGGAAAAAATTCTATTAAGTGAAGTAAGCCAGGCCCAAAGAAACATAGGTCCCATGGTTTCCCTTATTTGCAATAACTAGTGTATGTCTGAGTCAAGCAGAAAAGGTCAGATAAGTTGATGTTAGGGAACTGAACCCTAAGATATGTATTCGAATGCTTTTTTTCTTTCATGCGATTGTTTCTAACATATTTATAAGATGATTTCTTTGTTGCTTTGTATGTCCCTCCCACACAGTATAACCCCTGCTTTCACTGTATTTGATGTTGGTATAATTTGTGGAGGGGAAGGGAAAATACAAATTGTTTAAATAGGGATACAGGTGGACCCATTGCAACAATAAGATGTACAAGTCGTTATGTCGAAAAAAGAACTTTACAACTTTGGTGAGGGGCGGAGGGGCGGGTGGGAGGAGCGGGGGGGGGGGGGGGGGGAGTATGGGAAGGGATGGGAAGGGGAAACAAAGAGGAAGCAACAATGCTTGATAAGAAACGTACTCGTTATCTTGCCCATGTAATTGTAACTCCTCTGTACGGTATTCTCACAAAAAAAAGTGTTAAAAAATAAAATAAAAGGCAAAAAAAGGAAAAGAAAATACCATATAAAGAAAATTATATAAATATAGGAAATATTCAGCTCCTAATCCTTCCTGAAGCTGGCATTCAATTTCCAAACTAAATTTCAGAATTAAAATATGTATATATATCTATTTTTTTCACGCCTTCAAATGTCTGCTAAACATGCACCGTTTTAAGTAGGACACTTCTTGAGAGGCTGCTAGAGGCTGCAGCCACTAATGGCTTTCAGTGGGATGTGTTGTCTGTGTTCGCAGTTCGAACTCCATCGAGGTACAACTGGCAGCCATCTTTAAGAGAGACCGAGCAAAACGCCCCCCAGGTGATCTCCTGCCTTTCGATTCCAACAAAATTGAACCTGAAGGAGCCCACCAAGGAACCGTGGAAGAGGACAAAAGACCAGAAATCAACCTCCCACCTGTAGACCTGAAAAAACTCCTCAGCAGAATAGTAGAAGACCAGTCCTTGGACACGGGGACAGCGCAGATCTCTGAAGGTCAGTGGGCTATGTCTTAATTCCAAGCTTCACCTCAACTCCCACAGAGAAGCTTGCCTGTCTCATGAAAACTGTAATTTTTAACTGAGGTCCTATAAAGCCAGTCATGGCTACTATGACAGGTACGCCACGGGTGGCAGTATTTCTGTTCCTCTTCACTCTCCTAGAACTGGTTTAACAAGCCTTTGGTGACTATTTTCTATTGACAGCACCTAGAGAATCCACCTTTTTCAGACCTGCACAGGTCATCCACAGTCTGCCCCTGGGTTCCTGCAGAGAGAACCCCTGGATAATGCCATTCCCTTGACACAAACTAAACTGATTCTCTGATCTAATAAGTTGGTCAGATCGCAGCAGGAGACAGATGTTGCATTGAAATCCGGATCATCTGAAGAGCAGTTGATAAAGGAACTGTTCCTAAGAGCTCGCCTCTACTCACAGGAAGGAGGCAGCTTCCTAGGGCTAGAAGCAGCAAGGTCTCTTCACTCTCTCCAGGCCTGAAGAGTTTCTTAATGATTCTAAGCCATCCCAGACAGAAGCCAGGCACCTCTGACACAGTTATATAAGGCAGCCTCCTGGGGAGAGAGTAACAGCAAAGAGAGAATGTCCCAAAGTGGTCATTAAGGCAATCAGACACCCTCAGGAGCCTCAAAGGGTACCTGAAGAGAGAGGAGGCTGGCATTCACTAGCAACCCCATAGACAGTGGCATAGGTGGACAAGGAAATAGGCATGGCCGCATGAAACTATGGTTGTTTGCCAATTCTGTTTCTCTGATTTAGCTCTGCAAACTCTTCCCACTCACAAAGGTCTCAGGGACAAGGCCAAAGGTAAAAGAGGTCAAGCTCACATTCAGCTCAAAGATCAGCTCATTGACTGGGATATTCCCTTTGTGGAGTCTTGAAAGAGAGGGAGGGTCCTGAGAATCAGGATTTAGAATGGAACGAAGACTCCACAATTGGTCTTTCATTATGAGATTCATCCTCACTATTTATTTTTTAGTCAGCTTAGTCATGTTTGGGGGGGGGGAGGCTGATTCTAGATACTGTCTCTGAGTGTTTGTGTTCATGGTTGGTGCTCTACCACTTGAGCCACAGCTCCGCTTCTGGCTTTTAGGGCATAGTTAATTGGAGATAAGAGTCTCACGGACTTTTCCTGCTTGTGTTGGCTTTCAACTACAATGCTCAGCTCTCAGATTCCTGAGTAGCTAGGATTACAGGCATGAGCCACCAAGAATCTGCAACTTAGTTGGATTTTTATCACTACTGGCCTTACCAATCAGGCTCAAGGCTTGGCATAAATACGCACAGTAAAAGTGAACACTTGCAAATCTACCGTCCAACTATTCTTTTTGTAATTGTGTGTGTGTGTGTGTGTGTGTTGGTAATGAGGTTTAAACTATAGGCCTCACACTCTCCACACCTCCAGTCCAGCATTTTGATGGTTAATTAGAGATGAAGCCCAGTCTGTCTTTACCCCACAATCCTAAGATATCAGCCTCCTGAGTAGCTACATGATACATTGTGTGCATATTTATGAGTACAGTGTGTTGATGTGCTATGTGTACACATTATGTAGTCAAATCATCCTTTTCCATATTCATACATTTATCCTTTCTCTGGGATGAGAGCACTCAGGAAGCTTTTAGTGATCTTGCCATATCTATAGTCACCCCACTGAGCAATAGCAGACCAGCTCATTTCTCCTCTCTGTTCACACACATGCTTGCACCCACTGACCAACTTCTCCCCATTTTACCCTCCCCTTTACTGAAATTCTTATCACATCCACCTACAGATGTGACCTTCATGTCTGTCCTTCAGTGCATGGGTGGCTCAGTGGCAGAAGGCTTGCCTTGCATGCTTGAAGCCCTGGGTTCGATTCCTCAGCACCACATTAGCAGAAAAGGCTGGAAGTGGTGCTGTGGCTCAAGTGGTAGAGCACTAGCCTTGAGCTGAAGAGCTGAAGGACAGCACCCAGGCCCAGAGTTCAGGCCCCACAGACCCAATTTTTTTAATGATTACTTGTAGAATTCTTTAAAAATTGGCTATTGCCACATTTTTCCACTTTATTATTTTCATTGCCCCAATCATAAAAGAAAAAAAAAGGATAAATACCCAAACCTTGTGTGTTTTTCACCCACAGAAGTGATGGTGTCATCTCCAGTCTCTGAACCCGATACCCAGTCAGGACTGCCTACCACTCCAGCCAGTATCACCCAGGTAGGTGAATTTGTTGTCCTTCTTTTGTTCAAAGAGGAGCAATGCTTCAAACATTTCCGACAACAGCAACAAAAGTCAGTTTATTGACTAACTAGAGAGAAAAATCCCTTTTGCCAAGCCAATTACAATGCTTCTCTGTTTTTGCAAAAATATACTTGGTCAACCCACTTTCAGTAACTGTACTAATAAAATGGAATTCAAATACATTTCAAATATCCTAAAGTTCAAAGATTCCTCAAATTTGGTTAGATCTTTGTTTCAATTAAAATGAGGCTGCGCCCTGGAGTTGATTACACAAACACATCTTATAAACTCAAAAGAATAAACCAGGACATATTATTTAATTTTGACTCATTTTAATTTTGATCTTAATTTTGACTTTTATATAAATAGATACACATACCTTCAGTATTATACAGATACAAAAAATATTTGAAAATTTATTCTGTAAATTTATTTTTAATTCTAAAGATCTTAACTACATATTTATTTGTGGAATATGGCAAATGTAAATGAATGTCTTAAAGAGTAAAAGTGATAATTCAGTAGTTATTTTTACATTTTTTTTGAAAATGCTAAAAACAGAGGGGTTACAGTTGCATAAGTCAGGCAAGGAGTACATGTCCTTTTGGACAATATCATCTTTTTCCTCCCTCTCTCCCAGTTTTTCCTTGTATTTTTATATTTCATTGAAAGCTACATGCATTTAACGTCTGCTCAAAGTTCTCATTTTAGTGGTCAGCAATGGAAGTGTAGACTAAGTTGTGTCCCGCTTGAAATGAAAGAACTCAAAAGAAATGAAATGTGATTGACTCATTTTCAAGTATTTCAAGTGTCTAGTCAGACAAAGTGAGTTAACCTAGAAGCTTGGATCATGTGCTGCTACATATTGTCCTTGAGGACAGAATTTTTAAATCAGAACCTTCTTCTACAGTAAAAACTCCTAAGTCCAAAATGATATGCTGAAATTTAAATAGCAATATTAAAGGACAGGAAAGATAAGCCTTCTCAAGTTCAAAGAATGTCTCTCTCAATATCTGTCCTCCTAACTTCTATCTTCAGAATGTGACTTTGAGTTCAACACTTCCTTTTGGTGAACCCAGGCAGGAGACAGAGCACAGGGAAGGACCTGGCCTGCCGGGTGAGTTTGTTCTGCCTCTGTGTGACATTTCTGGTCTGGGGCTCTTGCTGACCACTCCCTTCTTGAAACTTCTTCAACTAGCTTCCACAAAATAACCCTTGGATTCATCTATTTGGTGATTACTCTTCCTTGAGCTCTTGCACTTGAGCTTCTTTTAGATTTTTCTAATGTGTTCACTAAAACCTTACTTTATTTTTTTAATTATGATACTTTGTATGCATGTGTGTAACATAATAAGGTTTCATTTCAAAGAATCAAAACAGGACTGGGAAGGTGGCTCAGTGGTAGAGTGCTTGCCTTGCATACATGAGGCCCTGGGTTTGATTCCTCAGTACCACATTAGCAGAAAATGCCAGAAGTGGCACTGTGGCTTAAGTGGTAGAGCGCTAGCCTTGGGCTAAAGAGTTGAGGGACAGCGCCCAGGCCCAAAGTTCAGGCCCCAACCAACCATAAAAAAGAATCAAAACAAAACAAAGCACTGGTGGCTTACATCCATAAATTCTAGTTACTCAGGAGGTTGAGATCTGAGGTCTGAGGATCAAAGCCAGTCTAGCCAGGAAAGTCTGTGAGACTCTGATCTCCAATTACCCACCAAAAAAGCCAGAAGTGGAGATGTGGTTTCAGTGGTAGAGAGCCAGCCTCGAGCAAAAACATTAATGCCCAGGTCCTGAGTTCAAGCCCTAGTATCAACACAAATTTAAAAAATAATAATAATTGTTTTTAAAAAAGAATCAAAGGAAAAGACAAAACTAAGATGACTCATGGTGAAATTGAAAAATCTAGTTATTAATAGTGATGGCACAACTTTATGTACTAAAACCTATTGAATGGCTTTACATGGTTTATTTTAAATGGTTGATTTTATGTTGCATAAGTTTTACCTTAATCATTTTTGTAGGAAATCAGAAGACTGTGGAGGAAATCATATTCTAAAGAGACATGTTTCAGTGGTTTAGCTCAGAGCTCCTAGAAAGGAAATATAATCAATGATGAAATTTTAGATCTGAATGCTTATAGAGAGAAATTACTTGGGAGAAAACTTTCTCCTTCGGATCCTCATTCAGTAGTTGGTCTGGGTGGTGATGAATCTGGCTCCACCTCCACAGTGGACCAAGCCAGTGTCAGGATTTCCGTCCTGGTTCTCAGTAGAGAAAGAGCACAGATGCCAACACACCCATGATGCTCAAGAGCTCTGTTCTGACAGTCTTCCCTGTTCAAGGACTGCTTTTAGAATAATTAGAATAACTAGAGGAGTGGTTTCATAGGGCAACTTTAAACCAAAGCTGTACAAGTAAAAAATTCTCTCTCTCAACTGAGATTTTGGTTAGTGTTCAGCAAGGAGAGATATATTTGGTAACATAGGCCAAGAATGCAAATAGTCTGTGTTGGTAATTAAGGGCAGATTCATCTGCTTCCTAAATCAGTGCAGATGGGGAGATAAATGGCATATCTTAATGAAAGAGAAATGGAAATTCAAAGTAGGCAACATTCCTAAGAGCAAAATGTGCCACTTATACATGGGCAAACCCAAAGAGAAGAATGTTCTGGACAAGTCTGTGACTTCCTTCCTGCAAATCAATTCTGGCTCGCTCTCTCTCTCTTCTTCAGTCAAATGAAACCCTGGGCTCCAAAACTCTGCTGCAGGATATTACTAAGATAATTTTAGCCTAGAAAAATCTCTAAGGTTAGTGTCACCAAACGCCTACCCAGTCATTAAAGTTTCAGTAAAACGCTCATAGAAATTTTTTAGTCTAAGCAGTTTAATTTAATAGGTAATTCTCTGAGATAAAGGACTTGCAAAATATGCCTCTAGAAAACCAAGTGTACTGGCATGTTGAATAGAATTATGAAGTCCTCTATTAGGAATATTTTTAGAGCAATTGATCCCAAGTCGTTCTTGCTTGCACAGCCCATTATATTAAGATCACTTGTATTTCATAAAAATGAGAGTTAGAAAGGAAACTCAACATTCTGTCCTCCATACAAGATGCATCAAATTCAATCAAAAATAGTATCAAATCATTGGGGCAAGAATTTCATGTGGCTTGGTTTGCTTTTGATGTGTATAGGAAGAGATAGGACTCTGGTTTTCTTCACTAAGAATGATCATCTGACCTATCAAAAGCAGCTCTTCAGCATTTCCCTCCCAAATTACACATTTTTAATTTCTAAACTGTACAATTTAGAACATAATCCAGGTCTCTTAATAATTTGCTATCGTAGCCAGGTGCCAGTTTTCCATGACTATGTAGCTACTCAAGTGTTTAAGATCTGAGGATCCCAGTTCAAAACCAGCCTAGGGCAGGAAAGTTCTTGAGACTCTCCTCTCCAATTAACCATCCAAAAGCCAGAAGAGGAAGTAGGGCTCAAAGGGTAGAGTGCCAATCTTGAGCAAAACCTCCAAGGAACAGTACCCAGCCCTGAATTCAAGCCCAGTTAAGTGAAGTAAACTGTAGACAGAGCTATTCTTCTATTACCCTTTTTATTCCCTGAGTAATGTGTTGAAATTAGCACATTTCTAATTATTCTCCATCCCTTCTCAGTCTTTGACTTCATCAGAAGAAATCAGTGAGAATAGCTAAGTTGAATGAACTCAAAACAGAACCCAGATATTAAGGTTTTGTGAGGTCAGGGACGGTGGTCTGTCTCATTCATTGCAGTATCTACCACCTACTTGATGGATAACTAAGTCGGGAATGATGTGTGTGGATGAGAGGAGAGAACGAACAAAGGTGACCTATTCTGGCTCCATGAACGTCAGCGCTAATGAAGAGAATCTACTTCTCTTTTTAATCTTCTCTAAGAAGCCCAAGGTCCAAGCAATAGTAGAGAAGTAGCATTTGGCTATAAACTGCTCACACCAGGCACCTTTATCAAAATATGGCACCTACTGTCTTTCCTTTTCCCTTGTGCAAAGTATTTTCCCTTCCTGCCTGGAATGCCTTTCCATTCTTCCAGCCCGAGGCCTCCAATCCATGCTGTCAGGTCCAGTCAACCTGCCACAGATCCATGAGTCATGAATACCATCTGTTCTCGGGTCCCACGATGAAAAGAAGAGGACAGAAAAATCATATATACTGCCATCAAGCATTTGCCACACAGCACTGAAATTATGGTTGAGTGTGTCTGGGATCTCTCCCAGACTGCATACTTAAATTAAAATCATGTTTTTATTCCCGTTTTTCCCATTCCCAGGGAATCATATGTCTGGCATATGATTACGATTTCATAACTCTGTCACCGCTGTCCTCACGTAGGCTGATCTGTGTCATCGGTATCTAGCAAGTAATGCCTGGAGGCTGGGCTCCTGAGCATTCCCTCTTCTCATCTCCAAACAGCTCCCCACACTTTCTCCCCACTTGGGCAAAGTTCGGCATTTTTTTAGCAAATGTCATCCTCCTTTTGTCCAAAGAGAGTGCTATGACAACACCCATCACCATAGTTACATTGGAGGCTGAGATCTGAGGATTCAGATTTGAAGCCAGCCTGAGTAGAAAAGTCTGTCGGACTCTTATCTGCACTTCACCAGCAAAAATCCACCAGTAAAGGTATGGCCCAAGTGGTAGAGCACTAGCCTTGAGAAAGAAAAAAAAAGCTGAAGACAGCACAAAGTACTGAGTTCAAACCCCAGTTGGCACACACACACACACACACACACACACACACACACACACAAAGTTGAAATTCTCCAAACTCTCCAATTTGGTTCTCTTAGATTGAACTAGGCATGCAGTCCTTTGGGCTTTCCGTTGAGGGAATCCAGTGCTCTGTCCATCTGAGGGGTATTTTTTAAGAACACCCACATTCTGACTCTCTCCTGAGCTATGGTTCTCCATCTTCCTGCCCAATTCCGTGTTCTTCGCCTCTCCTCAGGAACAGCGCCCTCCACTGCCCAGTCCCCGCAGGTGGAGTGGATGGGCCTTACCTGCTTAGCGGTAGGGGCTGGTTGTCTTTGCAGTGTTTGATTGAACTGGTCACGTGTGTCTGAGGCAAATCCATCAAAATCTACAGGAGGAACGGATCTGCACAATTGTAGTAAGAAATTGCATCTTCCTCCACGAAGATACACACACACACACACACACACTACATTTTTCTGGAACTCTAGGCAGCTTCCTGTCACCTTGAGGCTCCTCTATCTTCCTTCCTCCTTATGTTAGGAATAGTGAGGCTCTGAAGATTCAAGAAATCTCTTCCTGTCTCCATAGACCATGGAGGAATAAGCCTTAGTTCTGTGTCCCCCAAAGCTGTGCTTTCAGGTCCGGACATGGTGCCTGTTAGATACCAGGAATTGCAGAGTGTCGTGCAGACAGACACACCTCATGACTCTCCTGCAGATACACCCATGCTTCTCCTGCTTTGGGTTCTGCACTCAAGGAGTGCATATGGAAGATATGACCAAAGGAAACCCAGTGTGAGGGCATGAGGAAGTGCAGAGGAAAAGAGAAGGAAACCAAAAACAGCTAATGCTAGCTAATGTTAATGCTGTGAGCTCCAGTGGGGAAGTGGAGGCAAGGAGCACTAGGCCTGCCGGCTGGGCGATGTAGTGACCTTGTCAGGAATGAAAAGAGGGAGGGAGGGAAGGAGGGAGGGAGGGAGGGAGGGAGGGAGGGAGGGAGGTAGACAGGGAGGGAGGAAGGAAGGAAGGTAGGAAGGAAGGAAGGAAGGAAGAAAGGAAGGAAGGGAGGGAGGGAGGGAGGAAGGGAAGGAGGAAGGGAGGAGGAGGGAGGGGAGAAAAAGGAAGGAAGGAGATAAAAGAGAAAGGAGGGAAGGAAGGAAAGAGGGAAAGAGGAAGAAAAGAAAAAAGGGATGGAGGAAAATGGAAGAAGGAAGGAGGAAGGGAGGAAAAAGATAGAAGGTAAAAGGGAAGGAAGGTAGGAAGGGAAAAAAAGAAAAAAGGAAGGAAGGATCAAAAGTAGGGGGAAGGGAGGGAAGGAAGGAGAGAGGGAGGGAGAGAAGAGGGAGAGTAGGCTGAGCTGTAGAGCCCTTGTATGCAGAGC